TATACACCCTACACACCAAACCCTAAGCCCCAAGTGATGCAGCCAAGCCGCTTCCTTTCCTTGGGAAGAAACACAGGGCTTTGAAGTACACTGTAGCATGGCTGAATGAGGACTAGAAGGGGCAAACATGCATCGTTCAGACCCCCGTGGTGGGAGGTTGAAGGTCTGCAGCTTAGAATGGAACGAAACCCGCAAAGAACAGCCTGGCCCGCGGATTCTGAACCCTGACTTCTGCTCCTCAGGCAACGTAAGCAGATTTACCACCAGAAAACTAGTCTTAACGTTGTGAACACTACTGGTTCGTGGGAATACAAGAAGACAAACACAAGTCATACCAATAACACAAGTAGTACAAAGAGTACAAAGAGTACAAAGAGTACAAAGAGTACAAAGAGTACAAACAATGCAAATAAGAAAAACAAACGGAATCATACTGGTAATGCGAAAAAATCATGCAAGTCATGAGGCATTGATCAGAGTAATAAGACACATACGACGCATGATACTGCTGATGCTAACATCACCAAACGTACGCATAGCAACCAATAAGTCTAACAATCCTAACACTACTGGTACTAGAAGTAGAAAGAATGCCAATGGTGATGCCAGAAATGCACCCAGGTACCCCTGCGAAACTAGGCCCAGGAGTTCCTAGTCAGAACATGAAACTCCGAAACCGCAAGGCCGAAAACCAGAAACCTCGCTCCCACAAAGCCTCAAACGACTGAAATCCCTAAAGCCCTCTAAACTAGTATAGAATGGTATAGTATAGCATAGTATTAGTATAGGAAAAAAGAGTACCCGCCAAGAATGACAAAGAACAACTGTCGGGCGGCTCTGCGAATCCTTTGCGGACCATAGCTTTGGCCGCCTCCTTCCTGGGAGTCTCTGTTGATAGGTTTAAGGCATTTTAGGGCTTGGGGTTTAAGGTTTAGGGTTTGGGGTTTTGGGCTTGGGGGAGGGTCTGATTTCGGGTTGTTTTTGCTACCCGTCTAGCAATGCAGGGCTTGGGGTTTCGGGCCTAGGGGTTGATTGAGCAGCTTAGGGCCTAGGGTCGCCAAGTTTTCGGAATGCCTCGAAGAAACATAGACCCAAACCCTAAACAGCCTTGAAGCCTAAGCCCTTACACCCTATACCCTAAACAGCCAGACAATTGTGCAAGCGGGTTGCAACGCTGGCACCCAGAATTCAGGCAGCCCGGGCATGCGGGGCGTCGCGTCGTTGTGCAAGATCTAAGCGTCCGGGAGACCCCTTCCCCTTTCCACGAGCACACCACAGTTTGGGGTTCAGGGTTTAGGGTTTTAGCCCTAATTGAAGCGACGGCTAGAGCTTGCATTGAGCTCTTCAAGACTCTTTGCTTTGGGTGTTGGGGGGGATCTCGCTCTGGGTCTGGTCTCCTCCGAGGTCTTCGAGCTGCACTGACGCGACTTTAGAGCACACTTAAAGGATCATGGGACGTAGTAAGTAGGTTAAAATTGGGGTTATAATCCCCCTAAGTCCCATGACTTTAAGTAACTCACCCTTGCAAGGGTTTTGGGCTTTTTGGTTTTGGGGCTGCAAGCCTCAAGCCCACAACCCAAAGCTAAGAACTCTAAGCTATGATGACCAGGAGCCTGACTGCAAATCTCAGGGGAGCGGTTCAGGGTGTAGGGCTTAATGCAGGTGACTCTCAAATTGACCACATAGTGTGACAGGCATGGTAACTACCTGAAGCTATATACTTCAACCCAGTTTCTTAGCGGGTCGGGTTAGAGGTTTCGGGCCAAGTTTCCCCTAAACCCTCAACCCCAAACCCTCAGCAACTCCTCGACCCTAAACCCCAATCGCCCCGATCCCAAAAACAGACAAGCAAATCCTAAACCGAAAGCCCTGATGCACCCTGGCGGCATAGTTCACGCTGCTCCTGAAGAGCTCCTGCAAGACTGACTGCGTGGCCTCTGCGAGCTCGGGGTGGGTGGTTTTTGTAAAGTACTTGGAGGGTTTCATTTCGGGTTCTGTGACGATTCTAACAAAAAACTATAAAGGTTGTGCAGGGATTCTTTCAGGATGCTCCGGGATCTGTCCTACTACCTTTTCCAGTATCCGACACTGTTGCAGGGTTAGCTTTGCTTCCTCGGCCGAGTGCCAGCCCTGAAGAATAGGTCGGCCCCAAGCCCTTCTAAGCTCTTTATGAAAAGCCAGGCTCCGACATCGAAGCCGATGTACTGAAATCCCTGAAGCCACGAGCTGCAAGTTGGGGAACACTTTCGGCTTAGGGTTCAGGGTTTAGGCCCAAGTTTACGGGCTATTAAGGTTTAGCGGTCTTTCGCCCCTTCAGCGCTGGAAACCAAGCCCTTGGCATCCCAAAGACACTTTGGCACGCCAACTTCAAGAAGGATAAGAAGGGGCCTCCGTAGTGTCTGCGGCGACAAAGAAGACCATTGGTGAAGCAAATGCCACACTTTCGACGACCTCTTCCGGGATCTTTGTTGGGCAGTCTGGCACCCCGAAACCCTAAACCCTAAACCCTAAACACTGAGGTGCAGGGGGCATGCCTCGCACCTCACACAAGCGGCGCTTCACGCTGCCCCGGCAGCTTAAGCGTCGATTGCCTTGTTCCCTTGAACCCCACACCCTGAAAAAAAACCACAAGCCCGAAACTCTACCACGAGCAAAAGGCCCGAGACCCTTCTGCCTTAGAGGGCTGTCTAATTCTGCCGCCTGCAAGGGGTGTATCGTAGAATTACATTGGGTTTGGGGCTTCGCGTTTCGGGTTTGGGGGGCTAAGAAGGGGATATCATGCCTCATCACTACCCTGAAGCTCGCAAGCTGCCCAAAGACAAGCACAAACTACATTCCTTGTTAGGTCCCCAAAATAGTACGGCACTCTTCTAAAAAGGGCCTGAAAAGAACTACCCGCACACACAAACAGAGATGCTCGTTGCTGTTTACTGCTCAGCTTTGGAAAAGGGGGCCCCACAAAAAGAACAAAAGGGTACTGTCGAGGAACCTCGCGCCCCAGGCGCTAAACCCCAGTAGGTCCCAGTAGGTTAGCAAGCTACGCGAGCTGGTCACGAACTTGTGCAATACAAGGGCCGTAGGAAGAAGAACAAAGTTTTAGGGTATATTCAGACCCCGATATTGCTAGAATCACGCTCCTTTTAAGGTCTCCTCGCAAGGGTTGCCTCCTTCGTGTCTTCCCCCACCGTAACCCCACAAGCGAGAGGAGCTCACCAGTGATTGACCTTCAAGGCCGAACTACTCGACACGTATCGACACCTCGTAGATCGCCAGCCGACAAAGCAAACTTTCTTCCAAGACACAAGATTCGAAAACCGCCCGGCATGCTGCTCGCCGAGCAGTGCCAGATGTGCAATCCTTGGGGAAGCGAAGGCTTGAGTGCCTCCGGCAAAAACACTCTGCAGGAGTGGTGTGGGAAAAAACGAAGGTTTTGGGGAATGCTGGTAAGATTCTGGTGGGAATATCACCCTGCAGGACCCAAGATAAGGACATCTTAACTATCGAAACCGAAACCTTTTAAACGCCCAACTGCAAATCCATAGCACATTCCTGACGGCTTGCCTCCACCGCCAGCTGCAACAAACAGGAGCCCTACTACGTAGAATAGGGTCTGGGGACATTTTGTGGTATAGTTATACAGGAACTCTAAGCCTCTAAGGGGACATCAACACGAACAGCCATATAAACCCTTATAGGTCCCTTCAAAGAAATGCTTAAAGATTCCCTTTAAAGGAACCCTTCTTCCCTAGACCTAAACCCTAACACCCTAAAACCCTGAAGCCCTAAAACCCTAAAACCCTACGTACCACTAAAACCCCCAAAGCCTTAACCCTCGCGTGCTGCCAGAGAACTGCGCCAGTCCACCACCCAAGGAGTGCCCTCCAGGCTACTTGAAATGGTGATTAGAACAGGGTTTCGGGGGCCATGATACCATAGTTAGAATAAGGAGCCCCCCCAAAATAGTGTTGGTAACTATAGGGAACTTGAAACGGTCTAGTTCATGGTTGGGATAGCATCAAAACACCAAAATGTTTATTCCTTATTGGGTTTAAGTACGCATAAACATGTAAAATGTTATCCAACTATAACAAGGTGGCACTTCGAGGCTCAAGGGACTTAGTAATGTAGGGGCCTGCATAATCAGAATAGGGCTTTGGGCTCCCTTATAGTATACTTCTGTTCTATGGAAATGGTTTAGGGTTCCTTGTAAGGGTACTAGAGGGTTCTATACTACGGTTCCCTTTCAGGGTGGATAAGGGTTTAAGGTCTGATTAGAGGCGCAGGGGACTGAGGAAGTAGGGGAACCTTACTTAGGGGACGTATACCCCCCAAAATAAACTACTTGCTAAGTCCCCTGAGCCCTAAAGTAGGGTTAATATGATCAACGGGCGGTGATAATTAGAATCGGGTATATTCTAGTGCAGTTACGATAAGCATGAGTCTTCGAAAGGCAGGGATGTTGACAGAGGGGCTTCAACAATTTCCAACAGGGTTCCTTTAAGGGTTTCCTCAAAGGTTCTATAACATTATGGGAGTTTAGAACGCAGGCTGTAAAACATTAGAATAAGGCTCCTTTTGGACCCTGCCTAGAGGAGCATCTGCATCTTTAGCACTGCGCCACCTATGTCTACATTGACATGTCCACGCACCTGATCATGGCCGGGGAGCAACCCATGATCATCACCGTCAGCATCATCGTCGTCAATATCATCATCATTCTCCTTCTCACGAACATCATCACCATCATCGTCGTCATCATCACCACTGTCCCCATCGTCATCGTCACTATCTCCTCTATCTTCCACATCGTCATCATCTTCAGCAGCTTGGCAGTCACAATCTGCATCATCATCACACCGTACATGTCATCATGTTTGTGTTTCTTGCAGGGTGCGACGGCTCTCCACTAGTGTATGCTGGATGCTGTAGATCCTAAACCCTTAACCCCCTGCACCCCTAAACCCCTAGGGCCTAGACCCCTAAACCCCCAGGAAAGCTGCCTGAGAAGACCAGCCGCCCGACGTCCAGCGCCGACAGCCGAGCTGCCAGGCGCTTCCGAAAGACCTGTCCGCTTTCCTTCGCTCTCCTTCGCTCTCCTTCTCTCTCTCTCTCTCTCGCACGCACTCACTCGCTCACTCACCCTCCTTTTGGCCCCTTCGCTCTTTGTGAATACTATCTGTCCCCACCTCACCTCTGCATGGATCCATCCAGTCATTTAACGCTGGGCTCGCTTTGATCCCCAGGTACCCTCCATCCGCAAGCATTTCCACAGCTGCTATACCCCTGGCAACCTGGTTTGTGTTCTCAAGGGCTTCGCACACCGTTAGGCACACTTCTCTTGTCAGGACTTCCACAAGCGTAGATAGCAGCGAAGTTCAGGCCCAAAGCGATTAGCTGTCAAAGGTTTCAGCTGTCAAAGGCTTCAGCATACAGGACTCGGAGAATACTAGATTGCAACACAAGGCTTTTGGAACTGGGTGCCCTTGCATGTTGAAAAACAGCATGGACTGAGGGATTGGGGTTTTGGGCTGTCGCCCCCGGCTGAGCCGGCCTACACCCTGAACCCTAAACCCTACACAGTAAACCCCTTGAGCTCTGCACAGACCGGACCCCTCGGTGTTGATTTGCCGTGGTGTCTTCACGTCAAACTCGTTTCTTGGTGACAGCTTCTTAGCGCCTTTGTCAAGACATACATACTGTTTGATTGCACAATGGTTCCGACGTTTCTGACAAGGCGCAAGGAAGTCATGCTCAATCACCGCCATCATTGCACCGTGTGCTTGGATCTGGTCCTCGTCGGCTGCAAGAGAACATCCTCAACGTGAAAGCCTCCGTACAATTTAGGAGTTCCGAAATTGGGGGTCCTCATACTGAGCACACTGCTATCTAGGGTCTACATGAGGGTCTCCCTTTGCTTTCAGCACAAGCCGAAACTCTAGCACTTTGCGTCCCCAAGCCCACAAAGCGGTTCCTGCTCTGAAGGGGAACTTTCCAGAGTTCTTATTCCCATAAAATCTCCTAATCTACCGTAACCTACTACAAGCTACTGTAACATAGTATAACATGCTGGAATCTACTGTGACCTACTAGAAGCTACATCTACACATGTCTACCATGAGGCTCCTACTTCCTGGTGCTAGAAGACGGGGATCTCAGAAGTAACTTCGGGCTCCTCCTGATGTGCTGAATCAAAGGCGCAGGAACGCCCCGGCAACATTCGATAGCTGGGGCTTAAGGGCTTTGGGGGTTTAAATTATTAGGGTTTAGGGGTTTCGGGGTTTGAATAGGGTTCTGGGGTTTGGGGGTTTAGGGGTTGCTCTCGGGATCAAGGTACCAAGTGACATTCAGATGCAGCATCAATATGCATGGATCTTGCTGGCTTGCTGGTCCAGGGCCCAGCCCCCTCCGGGCCTTGATACTTAAGCTACGGTGCTGGCATATACTGTAGTATAATAATAATACTGAGAATAATAATAATAGACATAAAAAGGAACTCTGAGGAATTATAAGGGCAAGTATTCAGGCTTCTACATTCTCCTGGAAAACCCATCTTCAAGTCTTTCAGCCTGCCTCTCCGAACCCTTGAAGTCCCTCATGGAACAGAGACGGGCAGCCGTGAGATCGAACCACAGGTGGCAGAGACTGGGTGAAAAGCCGGCGTCCTGGCAAGGCTTCAAGAAGGGTTCAGGGCTTGGGTTTAGGCCCCTAAATCTAAACCCATGAATATGTAGGGACGGAGAGTTTAAGGGTATGTTGTAGTATGCGTATACGAAGAGACTATATTCACAACTCTTCCGACCTCCGTACGAGTGTGTCGTCGCCTGTGCTGTGACCTAACACTTTTCTCTAATGCTCATGCCCATGCTTTCCAATGGGTCCGTGCCCAACTCGACCAGCGTCTTGCTGCCGCGCCAGGCAACCACTGCAACTCCTGGCAAAGTCTGACACCGTCAGCAGGCAACGGTAAGCAAGAGCCTGAGGAGTGGGAACTGGAAGGAGGGCTTCTCCATTCAATCCAAGTCGCATGTCGTCCCCCGAAGCCCGCAGCCCGGCAAAAACGGAGTTGAACAAACTGCTGTGCGGGCTGCCGACTGCCGAAGCTCTAAACCGTAAGCCCCTGAACCCTAAGCCTCAACATCCCCAAACCCCTGCAGGTCTTGCTCCTTGGCTCACGGCGAAGCCGATACGAGAATGAAGGTTGTCCTCTCGGCTTCGCGTTCAGCGAGGAGGAGCAGGAGAAGAGGAGTCATAGTGGTAGTAGCAACAAGAAGTGACGATGCAACTATCAAGAAAACCTTCACGTGAACACAGTGCTTTCAGTCACAGCCTTAAGCCCTGAACCCCAAACCCCAAAACTCCATAGCCCGACTCTTGAGTTTTCCATACAAGCTACCGTAACCCCCGACCCTATAAGCCCTAAACCGTTAGACCCCTAGACCCCCAAACCCCCAAAACCCTAAACCCCTAAACTCCCCAACCCTAAACTCCCCAACCTTGTTAGAAGCTCTTAATTCTCCTTACTAAGTCTTGGTCTCCTGCACGATGAGCTCAGCTTCCTGGGGAAGGCAAGGAAGCACAGGGTTTAGGGTTTAGGGTTGGGGTTTATAGGGGCGAAAGAAACCGCCTGCGGTGGCGGAGCTTGACAGCCCCTCCGCCAGAGCCTAAGTCACTGTGTCTGATGCAGATGCCTAAAGGACCAAGTTGTGAAGCTCAGGCTGCTCTCTCCCCAACGACCCGTGCAATATGACAAAGAATAGTAGTATTGCACGGGTCCTTTTCAGGAACTTTAGTTGCCACAATAAGGGCCTAGCGTAAAATAAGCAGCTTCTTGAATTTACGTTACCATAACAAGGCCGGCCTGTTATTAAGGTTTTCCTTATTAGGGTAGCCTAAATGAAGTTCCTTAACAAGAGCCCAGTCTTTCGATCTCAGGAACTAAACTAAGGTTCTGAGTTTAGAGGGTAGGATCTCGGCGTTTGAGCAAGGTTTGGTTGAAAGCATTGGGCTTAGGGTTTTGGGGAAAATTGTGGGTTTGGGGTTTAGAGAATTAGGGTATTTGGGCTTTGCTTTTAGCGCCCTCCCTCTGCAATGCTCTAGGATGTGGGCACTTACGGCATGCGTCACCGGCTTTGGGCTCAGGGCAAGCCACGGCATTCTGTGGTACCTCTGGATATAGTATAGGGGCCTGGGTTTTGGGGTCCATTCTACTACTACTGATAATGAGGAACCCCCAGGATAGTATTGGTAACTAACTAGGCTCCTACATTAAGCCCTGAGAAGGAGAGCAATATCCGCCGAAGCATCGGGGAGCGACTCTCCAAGGCTTTCAGCGCTTAAGGAAAAGGATTTCGGCTCTGCGGTCTTTGGGTTTCGGGAGCTAGGTTCCTGAGTAACCCCTTTATAATAATGGTACCATTCTTCAAAAAATATTCAGCTTGAATAAGGGACCCTAAACCAAAAAGGGCAAAAGGGTACTACTCAGGAACCTAGGAAGAGGGTGTAGCAGCTGGGCACAATAGGTTTCATGCAGTAGGGCTGCGCAAATACAAAACCTGGCAGCATCCCGAGCGTTCGAAGTCCCTAGGCTAGGAGTCAGGCTGTAGAAGCTCACACAAATTCCCCTCAAAATCTGGATGCACATGCCACTTGCCGTCCAGTTTCCACAATTCCCAGAAAGCTTTCATCCCTGAACCCTGTAAACCAGAAACAGCAACCGAGAAATCTCTCCCTGACCCACCCTAAACCTCCTGGGGCGTCCTGAAGCTCGTCGCCATACGCTGCCTGCAGAGCCGCTCTGAAGGTGGCCGGGTCCTTCTTTCGGTGCTCTTTGCATTTAGGTTTAAGGGTTTAGGGTTTAGAGCGGCACGGCACGCCCCTACCACGCTGCTGAAAGTCCTCGTGGTAATCCAGCTCATGGTTAACGGTTGCGCAGAGCTCATGTATCTCGTCCGCTGGCTCCATTCTGCCCTGGCAGCAAGGCTTCCGTGCACGTGAGTTTTGCAAGAACCGGTTATAGCCAGAGATTCTGGTAGCCTCCCAAAACCTCTTCATGAAGCAATCTACCTGAAATAACAAGTTCAAGGGATCCCTAGCAGAGATTTAGATGAGATGCATTTCTCAATTACGGGATTTGGGAGTCTCTGGCCAGAGAGCGCGAAACTGCACACCTTGACGGTAGGACACATCAGGGTGCAACTCGACTGGGTCGACAAAATGCCTCAAGCCGCTGTCGGATGAGCTCTCGTAGCTGTTCCTCCTGTTTTTTTTTTGGGGGGGGGAGGGAAGGGGGGGGGTGTGCCACTTTAAACCCCTTTATTTGCCAGCCAGACCTGTGTGTTGGTTCACAACCAGTTCTGGCTGGCAAATAAAGTGGTTTTGGTTTGCAGAGCTCAATTGGACCACAATTATATAGAGTAAATCCGGAGGCCTCCCCCAACATCTAAATTCTGTAATTCCCGGCCCGAATAAAACAATTTAAATAAGCTGAACAAAAGAACATGGAATTATTTCAATCCTGGAAAGGGGTCCCGAGCGCCTGGAGTTAAACAACAGTTTTTTCACAGGTACTCAATCTCAGTATATGTCGTCTTGCTACAGTACTGTTAGTACAAACCCGATATGTGAAAACACACAGGTCTGGCTGGCAAATAGGAGTGGTTTAAGGGAGCCACGACGGGGGGGGGGGGGGGGGGGGTTGGTTCCTGACTATTCCGACACCTGTACTGGAGATAGTATTGCCGGATGACGTGAACTTGAATTACGTTCAGATCCGAAACTGCCGGAACGATCGCATGTTCTGCTTTATGGATAAATTCCTCGCAGCGGCCAATGTCCAGGGTCCAATTCTAACTGTGAAGCGCAAGTCCTTCTCCGAGGCTTTCGTCCCAGCAGCACTCCAGGCCTTCAGGGTTTAGGGTTTCGGGTCTAGGGTTTAGGTTCTTGATTCAAAGGGGAGCTCAGGCAACCAGGCGAACAATAACAACCCGTTCATGAGGAATAAGAGCCATGCTCGTTCAGGCGATTAGGGTTCAGGGTTGGCAACATTAGTACCTGCCATAGCAATGATAAGATCCCCTTCAACGCGTCTGCCCTTAATGGAAGACGCCACAAGGGCGAATTTCGCACAGATGGCAACTCCCAAAAACATCCCTTTACACCAAGGCTCCTTTGAACCCGAAACACCCAAAAGCTCCTCCCAAAACTCATCCAAACCACACCAAAGATTAGAAGACATCCAAACGCCTCCCCAAAATCTCCTAAACAACTCCAACCCCGAAACGCTCTCAACCCAAACCCAAACCCCCCAAACCATAGACCCTAAACCCTTTTTGCAGCTGGGACTCTTTGACCCTAAACCCTAAACCCCTAAACACAAACCCAAAACCCTTTCAAAAAGAAAAATCTCGGGCCCCAGTGGCGGCCCAGGCTTTCGAGCCCGCTGAGGCGGCGCTGGCGGCCGTTTTCCTTCCAGGCGCAAGCTAAGGGTTGGAGGTTTGGGGTTTAGGGGGTTAGGGGGTTGGGGTTTAGGGTTTAGGGTTGACGGTGGTTTGGGGTGTCGGGTTGAGGGCTGAGGGTATTGAAAGGCAGTTTAAGGGTGTTTGGAAAGGCGTTTGAAGGCTTCCTTCAGGATTTGGGGTTAAGGGCTAGCTTTTCTTTTATAAGGTTAATGAGTTAAGGAACTGTTTCCGGGTTGAAGGTTTTGAAGGATTGATTGCTTCAGGGCTTAAGGTTGAACAAGTTTGTTCAAGAGGTTATTGGATTTTATGTATGTAAGTGCTTAACGGGCGGGCGTTGTCGTATTTCCTTAAGACTTGAGAGGGGTCTTTTATGGTCTTTTGCCGGGCTGCAGAAGGGTTTAGGGTTTAGGGTCTAGGAGTCTAGGGTCCAGGGTTTACCCAGCGGGTTCACGAACAGGGGTGGTTTCGACTCGGGTTTTTAGGAATTTCGTGTTTTTGGTTCAGGGCGAAGAAGGCTTCAGAAAGATTATGTTCAGGTATATTCAAGTCAACTCAGGGCTTTGCCACGACGTAATCCTGCAGAATGACATGAGGCTCGTGCAGAGAAAAATGACAATGGATGACTTTGCAGCTTACCCAATGCATCGTTTGATGTCTTTGAGTCTTTCGGTTCAGGTGTTGGCCATCCCACCAAAACTTGATTTGTGTTCGATCGATTCACCTAAACTTGACGTGTTTTCGACAGACTTGCTTTCTAATTTAAGATTCGCCTTTGAAAGAAATGCCTTGTGCTCGAGACCTGAGAGACATGATTTCTACAAGAAATTGATTCTTTCCACGACATGATGGCCGGCCGGAGTGCTGGCGTTTTGAGCTCGTCACAGAGACGCAACGACACAAATCACAGAATGTTCATCAGTTAGCTCTGGAAATGTACCGAATATGTCGTGCCTGCCACGCTTTCCAGCAAGGCCTAAGAAAAGTCCACAAGCTCTGGCCTAACAGCACCTGTAAAAACAGTGTCACTGTTAGCGAACCCGCTTGCAGGGTTTAGGGTTCAGGTCTAGGGTCTAGGGTTAACGGTGTAGGGTAGATTTCATAAGGGTTTACGTGGATTTCATCAGGGCCATCAGAGTTCAATAAGGGTTCGAAAGGGTTTGGAACAGCTTTAGTGGGTTTGGCGGTCGAGAGTTTAATAAGATTTTTTCAGGTTAGCTATGAGATTCTCTGTCTACGGTATTTAGGGCTTGAATGTTGTAGGCTAAGGTTTACGGGTGCTTGTGTAATTTAAGGGTTGAAGGTTTAAGGGTTTGGGGCTTGAGAGCTTAGGATGGCCCGGCTGAGGGGCACAGCGCCTTGGCCATTTCTAGGATTCAAAGCTTTAACGTTGGATTTTGGGTTCTTAGGGCTTTGGGTTGAAAATGCAGGTGTTGGGCCTTGAATTTTCAGGTTGAGTTTAAGATTAGGGTGGATGCCTAGGGTTGCTTGAAAACCCAGAACCTGTGGACGCTTCGGGGTTTATGGAAACAGCGAGATCCGCTGCAACCTCTCCGCGCGTGCCTGACCATCCTGTAGGGTGCCGCCAGCTTCGACGCGTAGGCGCCCGTGGGGGCAGCCCTGAGATTCACAGACACAAGAGAGAAACTGAAAACGAGGGATCATCATCCCATGAAAATTCCTAGAGAGAATACCCCCTAGTTAAGGAACATACCTTGGAATCACAAGAATTTAAGAAGTTGTTTCAGTTTGAAGTACGCTCCTTAATTCAAGGATATTGGGCTCTTTGGTATGACGTGGCTGTTGATGAGTATGGGAAACTCATGAGACCTATGCTTTGGAGAAGGAAATCCTGAGGCTCAAACCCCAGAGGATGATACCCCAAAACCTTCTTCTGGTGAAAGCCACAGCATCCACCCTTAACCCGAAACCAAATCCTAAACGCTACTGTGGTGGCCTTCACAAACCCAAACAAGGTCTATAGGGCACGTTCTGCTGTACTCACATGACAGAATCCCAAGAGAGTGTTAGGAACGATTCCGACCCCTGTTAAGCACCACAAACCCTAACAAACCCTATCTCATTTATGTTTCAATCACTTCAAGTTTGCTCTCTTACCAGTCTGTGTACTAAACCCGAACAAAACACCCACTATTGTAACCCTTACAGCATCCTTCAAAGGAGCCTTGCATTGCTTCAGGGGGCCCCCGAGAATTGAGACCCAAGCAGCTCTGGCTCGGTTGGGTCGGACTCCGTCTCCGTGGTGTGTGGAGCACCCAGAAACCTTGGAGAAACTGGTGCCCGAAACTCCAACCTTTACACCCTGAAGGGGCGAGGCCCCAGTCAGGACCCAAGTAGTAAGGAATATACCTAAACTGAAATAGGATCCCTAATATGAGCTAAGGAATATTCCTTAATTAAGCGTGCGCGCCAAACAAAAATAGTAATACTAACACCCCGAACAGACTCCGGAAGGAAAAAAACAAGGACTCAATGAAGAATAACGCGGCAGGCGATGCGATTTTGACATGCGGCGAGGAAAGCCCTTCGTTCGCTGCAAGAAGGAAACTGGTCACGATTTCGTGATCAGTTTTTCGGGCCAACTGCGTTTCAAAGTGCCATCTAAGAATTATGAGACCAAAGCGGTCCTGCAGACCCCTAAACCCAAAACCTGGCCCCCCACTCCAAACCCTAAACCCTAAACTTAACCCCCAAGTCCAAAGCTTAAGCCCTAAACTTTGGCGTGCAGCGCTGACAAAAGCACCCCCCAAAACAAATCGTGCTAGAGAACGGGGTCAGGGGAATGCAGGAAAGCGTGGCAGGCTCAGCGAAATCGTGTCTTTTGACCAACCCCAGCGGTCGCATCCAGGAACTTCGTGGCAGGAAGCAAACTGGCAACATGGACGTAAACATCGCGCGGGCATGGATGCTCTGGCGCTTCGCACGCACTGGTAACATAGACGTAATCATCGTGCGGGCATGGATGCTTCGCACGCACTGGGAACAAGCGTGGGTTTTTTACGGCGTGCAAGCCTTAATTAAGAAACATTGGAGTCTCTGGGATAGTTTAGAATCGAGTTTCCGGGGTATAGCCCTAAACCCTAAACGCTATATAGGTAAAGACAGAAAATCCAAACAAAGCCGGGCGAATCCCGAAACAAAAACTTACACATCTTACACAGGCCTGAGCCCGAAAAGCGAGAAAATGTACGGCATTTGGAGCTTTGGGTTGCTTCGGGCAGAAGGGGGTTCCGTTAGTCTTAGGGTTCAGGGTTGAGGGTGTAGCTGCTCGAGGTTTGTAGGGCTCATAAACCCCAGAGCTTGAACGCCCCTTCACCTTCCTTGCAAACCCCTAAACTCCAACCCCCTAAACCCCAGAAGCCTAACCCTAGACCCGAAATCCCTAACCCCAGAACCCTAAACCCTAACCCGAATTCAAAGCACAAGAAGCTCTGCAGCCGCCGCGGAGGAGCATCGGCGGCTTGTTGTCTCTTCCTCCCAATTCCCAGAACTCCAAGCAAGAGCCTTAGAGGAACTCTCTGAGGAACCCTTAAAGGAACCTTCAAAGCAACCCTTAAAAGAACCCTAAATGGCTCCGTCTTTAAGGGAACGATAGGGGTTCCTTAAAGAGTTCCTCTAAGGGATCTATAGGGGCTCCCTGATAGGAAAGCTTACATAACCGGAACCTTAAAAGGAACCCTTCAAGCAATCCTGTATGCCCTCGGCCCGATGCACCAGGTCCTACACTGAGGCAGACTGCACCGAATCTCAGATTACGAATCTCGGAAAAAACTTCAAAATCCCAATTTTTCAATAGCATCTTTTTTGCGGTCCCTATGTAGTCTCGAGATCCAAAATTCCTCGTCCTTGGGCCGAGGGCAAACAGCAAGCTCCGACATCCGAATAGTATCCCCTTGCAACCGAAATCCTGTAAGTCCTGAAGCCTAAGGGTCAGCGATACTTCTCTGGGCCTCTGGAGTGGACACGTCATTTCCCATGCCCGCGCATTCTCAGCTGACCATACTTGGAGGAGCAGGCGGCTAAGTAAGACGCCTATCAAAATAGTTTCTTACTAGGTCCCCCGACCCAAGTACCAGATGGCTGCAACATGAGGTTTGGGTTGGAGGGCGCAGGGGCCCCACAGAGACCAATACCCCTTAATGTATAGGAATAGACTGAAATTTTAAAATATGAAGCCCCTAATGATTTAAGGTCTATTCCTCAATTAAGGGGCATTGGGCTCTCGGAGGCCCAAGGGCTCAAGAGTGTGGTGTGGCCGTAAGTGCGCATATGCACATGAGGCTTGGGGGCAATCATGGATTAAGACAGTGGAGATTTGGGTTCGGGTGACATGTGACACGTATCTTTCGAAAGGAAGCTTTGTGCCAGGGGAAGGTCTCGGCCCTTCTGCCGGACTTAGCCAAAGCAGCTTCGGATGCAGGTCCGCCATCGTCACAATGTGCTTCTGGGGGATCAACGGATGCTCGGGGTGTAGGGTTGAGGGTTTGGGGTCTTCTTGGTCTCGCTCTTGCTCTTAACCCTCGGGTTCCTGTTCTCGTACTATAAGGGCCTTAAGTATTAGAATAGGGTTTTGGGGTATGTTATACTTTGCTTATAACGAGGAACCCCAAAATGGTATTGTTCATTACTTAGGCCCCTAAAGTACGGTGTTCGGATTTTGCAGTTGAGACGAAGCCTCGGAAAAATGAAACGTCGAGCTCTGGGAGCCTGGATGTCTCACAACGATCGTCCCAGCAAGGCGTGTAAACTCTAAACCCAGCAAGCCGTGGCAATCCTGCCCAACTTCATATCAAACCCAACTCTTGATGGACCCGGTGAAAATCACCACCAAATCAAGGGAGCCCGGCCGCTCCCCATTTAAAACCCAGCAGCCCCTAAACCCTACCACATGCGCCCTGCAGGCCTGTGAGAAGGCGCCGCTTCAGCTACAGGATGGCTGCTGTGCTGTACGACTTGATGTTAACTTGAAGCAACATCAAGAATCTCAATATATCATGCATATAAATACCGTTCTATATATATATATATATCCCATACATAGCCTCAGACATGCTTCTGAAGTGCATGGTGTCCCCAACATTTCAACGACATCGTATGAATTCAACTGTGTTGCGGCTGAATGCCCGTAAAACGTTCCAGCTGGCACACTGGAGTGAGATTTGCTCGATCTCATGCGCCAGCTTGGCAGTGCATGCTCGGAAACATGTGAGTGAATGTTTCCGAGTGTCGTCTTTCGTACATACATCATCTTCGCCTCTGCTTCATTGTGATAGACGACCTTGGAACGAAAAGACAAAAACCTCATGTCGAACGTCTGACAAATTCTGCTGACTCCTATAAGCAAAAAACGTAAACTTTCTGGCTCTTTGTAGGGAATTCAATACTTAGACGCCTTCTATCTCGTTCAAGGGATTCTACAAGGACCCCAATGCCCAATAATTCCCCACCAAGAAGGAGTAAGCAAACCCTGTACCCTGCATACACATCAGCGAAATCTTAGCCTCCAGCTGCCGACTTTCACGAAATCCTTGTGGCCCGCCAGGAACTGTCCCACCTCCGTGTGTGCACCCAGGCCAGGCACTTTGAAAGGGTTTAAGGCTTGGGTTTGTTTAGGGGTTTTAGGGGTTGTCGAGGTTTTCAGACTCTTTTCCGTTCGAGGCCTAGTCACTCCTTGGTTCCTGATCCTGTCAGGTTGGCAGCCTTCGGAGCCGGGCCCTAGGACCTGGTACCTGACCAAGCGCCCAGGAAACTCAGCGGCCTCCTGAAAAACTGCATATGAAACCATATTGCTCGGAGCCGAATTCAGCTCCCGTGGCCCTCACAGCCATGGGGGTACAGCGCAGAAGCGCTCATGACCGTCCGGTTCAAGAAGACGAAAGAGAAGGTCGAGGCAGCGATGCCAATGTTTGCCAGCACGAAGCTGAGGTTCATCGAGAGCTCCCTCAAGTTTTCTGGGATGTCTTGCCGTGTGTTGAACAAGCTCACGCAGTTGGCATACGCAGCCCCTCCGCACAAGCCAACCTTACTGCTTGGAGGGAGGCCATGACAATGCGGCTCCTGCCTGCTTCTACAATACTGAACTGCTGTAACCCCAGGAACTCCAGTTTGCCATCAGTTTGCAAAGCAAAGAAGACGCGAGCATCCGTTTGGGCGGGGTCAGTACGTACATAACGCAATCACATGATAGACCTCATGGGCGAGTCTTTACAAAAAAACATCGGGCAATTGCAACGTTCCAGAGAAGTGAGGCATCACATGAGTTTGCATGGAAGCATCTCCGCAGGCTGTTGCAACCCTTCTCAGAAATGTCTTTGTTGTCAGGTTCAGGTACCAAGTTGGTTTTCGTTGGTCCGAGAATTATGCTGAGGTAGTCTCAGGTAGACTATACATCTTGAGTCGCGCCAGGGTGAGAAGGGAAAGCACCGTGAACCATTCCGCTACGACGCTACGATTCCAGATCCGCAAAGTCTGCAAATGCTTGACACTGGTCAGTTTTCATTTGAGCTGGCGGATGGTTAGCCCTCGGACTCCTGTTGCTGAAAAGTCCTGCCAAGAAAGTATCGTTTCGAAGAAGGCTGGGTGTGAAGGATGGAGTCCACAAGCTAGAGAAACACCTCTGAAGATGGCTTTGCAGAGGGAAACAGACAACAGAATGCCGTCTGGGATGCGTAGAGCACCTGCTGCGAACTGTGGTTGTAACACAAGCAAGATGACTTCGAAAAATTAGGCAGCATGTGCAGTTTCTCACCGCGGCTGCACTCCACCGCGCCACGGAGTTGCTATGAGTGCTCACAGCATATATTCATCCAGGATGGTGAAAGCTGCGGCCGGGCTTTTACAGCACGCAACTGCCGAACTGCCTATAACTAAGGTCCAAAAGTGCAACGTACTGACTGCGCAAGACGTGGCAAAAACGGTAAATAATCAGGCAACTTGCACTGTATAATAAGCTTAAATTGTATTGCAAAGAAGCAAAAAAACTAAGGGCCCGTGCGATGGGATCAAGCCAGCCGCGAAAAATGTTGAAAGAAACACACGCCGTCTCGTGCCACAAAATCGAGCCTAACGAATGACTGATGGCAAAATTCGGGGTCCTGTGCGTGCTATTACTTCATTCCGGCTCTATGAAAAGAAAAGCACCTAAGTACGCATCATGACAGTTGTCACAATAAGATCCGGTTTGGTCTGCTCATTTTGACTGCTATATTGCTTCTCTCCTTACAAATCAACGGCCAGTAACAACCATCATCCAGCCGGACATGACAAAGTAGCCATAGTTGTGTGGCAGGCCACTCCTCATGAGGAAACAGCAGTGAGATGCCCTACAATGCTACATTGTTGATTGGCAGAGAACACAGGAATTTCAGTAACATCAACCTGGTATCCCAGTAACCATACTAGAATCAGGATGAAGGTACCCTTTTTTTGGGGTTGGTTTCTTGATCCGGGAACCTGGAACCTTAAAGGAGCACAGGGGCACCGTTGGGGCTCCCAAGTCAACCAAACTCGTTCAAGGCAGGAGTTACGAGGTTGGAATGGGGAACGGCGTTCCCTGACAGTCTCTCTCTCTCTCTCTCTCTCTCTCTCTTGCGGTTGAGAGTCCTGATGGCACCAGTGCAGATTTCAATGACCCAGGCGATGACGTTGATCGCTTGAAAACAGGTCAGGAACCAGACGCGCTGGACACGTAACAAGCTCACGGAGGCACGTGACAGCAATACTCCGATGTTGTAGCACATCCACATCGCGGGGAACCACTTGTTCTGGGCACAATATGTCTCGCGATCATCGAGACCAGGGTAAATAAAGTACTTGAAGGAGTACGCCGCCACCTGATTCAGGCGACTTTCGACTTATGATCATAACCAGAAAGTGGGCTACATCACAGGACATCTGCTAGAATCTGCTAGAACTGTCGGAGGGTGTCGGGGAGTCTCAGGGCCCGACCAGGTTGGCAACAATGTCGCCACTGACATGGAGAGCAGCCTTCACGTTCTCCACGCTGGCCACGGCCGCCCCTGGCCCGACCTTCGAGTCTACCACAGCCTTTGGGTCCGTCTGATCCAGTAAGTTGCGGCCGCCACCCAAAGCAAACTCCAGCTTCGGGCCCGACAAGGAGTTCGTGGTCTCCCATCGTAGGTATTCAAAACTCAGCCAGAAAATCACCAGAGACGGTAAACACAAAACAAAGACGAGGCTGCTGCTCAAATTCAATGGTCCCCTGAGGAGGATGTACATGAAGCTGCTGAGAATCCCAGCCACGCCTGTGCCGGTCCCCCATCCCCCCACCAGCTCTGGCGGGAAGCTACGGAGGAATGCAAGGATGCCAAGCTCACCGAAAATCTGTGCTAGGGTGAGGACGGCCGCGAAGCAGCAGGACCAGAACCAGCCGTCTGGAAAAGCGTTTGTCACTGCCAAGGACACGCCCAAGTAGCTCCCTGCTGTCATAAGCAAAACCATGAGCAACCGCTTCTTGTACTCGATGCCAATGAGCCACTTCATGTTGATGAAGGTGGCAAGGAGACTGCCGAGCATCATACAGGTTGACATGACGGGCGTTTGGTGTGGTACATGGAACTGCCTGGCAAGATCTTGGCTGGCCCCGATCATGACGCAGTAAGGGAAGTTGTTCATGGCCCCGCAGACGACCACCGCTGCGAAGGAGAGCTTGAAGTTCGAGGGCTCCACCATGTCTGGACCCGAATCGGTGCTGTCCTTCAGCAAACAGCTCCATGCCCGCACCCGGTCACCCACCCCAACAACCCTATTTCCCCCCACCCGTCAGTCGAAACGAGTGAGGCTCGGTTCCTAGGAGAAACATGGAGAACCTAACAGTACTGTAGAGAACTGGCCAGATGCCGCTTGGCTCCAAGTCTTTTGAGGGCTCGTGGGTCACCCCTCGAAACTCAGGAAGCAGCCGCAGACCCCTAAGCCCCTACGAGTTTGTTTTGCACCAGGAAAGAAGAACACGAGGGTTTTCGTAGCTAGGAGTGGGATGATCCATTTGGTATAAGTCCTTCTCGCATGAGCCGTAGGTCCTGCCCGAACTCTCCTCATCAGTCTGCGACAGGGGGAGAGGCATCTTCGACGTTCGGTACCAGCGCGGAAGCTCGGGTAGGAAGGGGTTTCCAGGGCGAGCTGGAAAGTTATGGGATCGAGCCAGAAACAAGCGACGGAGCACGGGCAATCTAACCCTAAACCCTACACCCTCTTGCATCCAGGTCTCACCTAAACCCCTAAACCCCTAAACCCCTAAACACCTAAACCCAAAACCCTAACCCCTGTTGATCCCCAAAAGCCCTGCTGGCTGCTAGCCTCGAGGTTGGGCATACCCGTGATCAAGGGCCTGTAATCAGGAGGGTCTACCGCTTGGCTGAGATAGGTGTCGTTATGCTCATCCGTCAGTAATTTAACCTCAGAGAGGGACAGGTTTGGTCCAGCCGAGGCCAATATACCCATACTGTCCTGCACTGACCTGGGCTTCCGACAGGTACTTCCTGTTTTCCTGACATCATCGCCGCCGCAAATCATCGGCAGCATCGATGCCGGCTCGCACATCGTAATCAAACCTCAGGCACAAGGATCAGATCATGTCAGAATCCGTAAGAGTAGTATTTGAGACTCATCGAATGTGACAATGGCTTTGGAAGTGCAAGTGTATGTTAAATCTCATCAAGGACGGAGTAGAAAGTCCTTTCTGATAATGGTTGACGTAACCCCTGCATTGCCATCCATTGAAGCAGGAAACCCACTAAACCTTCTGTTAGACTGAAACGATTCATCCCACCTTTCAAGCCTGCCGGTCTATATGCAGCTTACGAGGGATTAGATAGCACTGTAAACCCCACAGTCATCTGTAGGTAGAGCGCAGGCGATTCCAGTGAAGGCATGCTCAATTCAGCACAATTTATTCTGCAAGCTATTCTTCAACGGGGCACCATTTCAGGTGCAGCACTGAGCATTTGGGCATGTGAGGTTGACCCAGTGTCATAGCACTTGGGAAACCTCATTGACCGCATGTCCCCCAAACCCCAGACGACTTTTTCTTCTGACTCGGAGCTCGCAGCCATGTGAGTGAGTGAGACGCTCTTCGGGCCGAAACAAACACATGGATTCTATGGTAATTATACTGTACAGGGCTCTAGGAAAGGGGTCTGTTTAGGTTCAGAAAACAGGGTTTATTTGGGCCGAAGAGGCTGTGGGCCCGAGTGTGCGCAAAGGAATGACACGCACTCAACCTCAAGGGCTAGGATAATGACTGATTCTAGAAGTCCTGCACCGTAGTTTAAGTACCCGCAGTGATTCATCCACCGTATAAAAAGCATGTACTTTTTTGGCTTTGTGATACCTTCGTTTTGGACACTGACAATTCTGGAGGCTCCTACTCCTACACTGCTTGCGAGCAGTGAACGTATCTTGGAATTACGTGAGCCTTCGAGGGCCGATTGGGCCTTATTGGTTTGAGGGGGGGCATCGCCTGTGCCAGCCGTTCCGTTGCAGCTGGCAGCAGCGCGCAGGTGAGATTTTGTTCGCGCATCGTGCCAAATCTACAAGCTATTTGGACAAAAGGCTACGCGTTCAAGAACTTCGAACCAAGTTCTGTGTGGGTCAGCATCATGGACCGCATGATGGGAGCACCGTTTCTTGAAACTTCTCAACCTCACACCTTGGGCGTGAAGTCGTGTGAAGTCGCTAGCATCATTGAGTCTGGCAGTCACCAGCGTCCTGTAAGGAACCACACAAGCGCTGTCAGAACAACTAGATCGACTACCAGCCGAGAAGCGTCTAGAACAAGCAGGCCACAGTCGGGTCTTCTCCCCCCTACTGCGCCAAACCGCCTCAACGTGCTAACATCCGATGCTGCGGGGGTTCCGGGCTGTGGGCTCCTCTTGTGACCACACCAAAAAACACGAACCACCCTCTGACCCTCTAAACCCTGGGACCCCCCCTGCGACGGCCCTGAAACCCCTTCAAAAAACCATTTTTTCAGACCCGACCCCTCTTGGACCCCTCCTGGGACCGTTGTGCATGCTACACCCTGCGCTGCCCGAGCGGCACAAGCAATTATCAGGTACCGCGTCCCTGCCAGTAGACAAAGCCCAAACAGGTACCGTACGGCGACCACCCAACACAGCGCGGTTCTTCTTGCAATACGCTGGAAGTAGAACAGACCTGATTTCTCGAGTAATCCCCGAAATTAAAGTACAACCACCCCCCAAGCCCCCCCAAACCCACCCCTACATTCCCTCCTACATTAACTTTTTTTGTGGCACTGGTCCTCATCCATGGCCACGGGCATCGGGGTGTCGAAGCGCAGGGCTCCCATCTCCGTGGAAGCTTTGCTCATCTCATCGAGGGCCTATCGCAGCTGCAGAAGCCACCGGAGCTTCTTCCCACAAGCAAAGAGTAGTGTTACCAGCAAGACGTGCATACTCATTTTGGTTGATGACAAGGAAATTGCATGCGTAGATGGCCCATGCAGCCCAAGCCATAAGTTGTCTCAGTTGTCTCACGTTCTTTTCCCCGTTGGTCGCCCAAAACGAGCCAACAACAAGTTCACAAGACCCATAGGTGGGCCACGACCACATGGGTAATCAACAAGCCCGAAGCATGGGCTTGATGGAGCTACCTGAGCAGTCCATAGGAACATGTGTGCGGCCATGCAAGTGAAACTGCACAAGCACGTGTTGCCGTGCGCGACACGCGTGCGCGCATGGATTTCCGAATGTCCGCCACCTTGGCACACATCAACGAACTTCGGGGCGCCTCCTGAACGCTCTCCAGGTGGCCACTCAGTTCTTTGCACTGCTGCTCTGCAGCCTTCATCACATCCTCCACAGCAAGGCCCAAGGCGGCCAGGAACTCGCTGTTCCTTACGGGCGGTGGACATTTCGAAAAGACCCAGTTCTTCAACTCAAGTAAGGAGATACTACAGAGCCTCAAGAATGAGCCATGCTTTTGAGTAGTTTATAAACGTATCGCTCGCCGATGGATATCATCTTGCACGACTCTGACAATGTTCTCTCACATCAGGGTTCAGAGGCTTTGAAGGTTTCATGCTGTGGCGCGCGTGTAAGTTTTTTGTCTGATCATCCATAAAGGCAAGGCAATAGCACTGGCGGGGACTTGTGCTGATGGTCCTTAGACTGCACTTGCACTCACAAGTAACTCACAATTCGTAGGCAAGAACATACCATATCGCCAATTCAACGGCGCGTTGCCGGGGCTGCTGATTGTTTTCTCTTGCCGCCTTGAGGACTACTACAATGATGGTCCCAGGTGAACTGAAGAGGGTGTTCGGCAGGATAAACGGTAGCAATCGCCTTCCCAGGAATCGCCGCCCACACCCACCCCGCTAATGACAAGTATTCCTGGCCAAATATTATCTTCCGTGATGGGAAAATGAGAGATGTTTTGGGGGTGGTCATTGTAAAGTGGAGTATCCTGGCAAACCCTAAACTTATTTCATCAAGCGTCTTCTCATGGCCATGCAGAAGCGCCTCAACCACGACAGCTTCTGTCACCTGGCTATTTGTCAGATTCCTTGAATGGGCCCCTGCAATCCCCTTATGTATCCCTCTATATACCTAGGGTCCCCACACCCCCCTCCCCCCTCCCGCCCGGTTTTGAGGAAAAGCCCACCTTGCCATCCTTGCCGGCGAGCACTGCGAATGCCGCCTTGTGATCGGCATCCATGTTTTCTTTGTGCTTTCCTGGGCTTGCCGAGGTGTATACAGCTATATAAATACAGGTTAGGGCGCAAGGTTAACAGCCCCGAATTTCTGGTTCGCAATGTTTCTTTGCCTCCTCCTTCCGCAAACAGTTTACTGTAGGGGTTTCTGATTGCACGGGTTGCTGTCACGTATCTCAGGTTCGGCCACTCAGGCAAGGACCCAGTTGGACACCTCAAGTTTGGCCACTAAGGCAAGAACCCAGTTGGGATACCTCAAGTTTGCCCGGTAGGGATACCTCAGTTGGGATACCTCAAGTTAGCTAAATTTGAACTTCTGGGTTGAATACTCATATGTACTTAGGTGTGAACAAAAGCTGCTTTTCTGTACAAGTGGCTCACATTGCCCTCAAAAAACTTCCCTAGATGCTGATCAAGGAGTAGGTCGTGCAGCGCCACTCAGAAAAAGGCTACCCATCCACATCCGCACTGAAGTCCCACAGTGCCCAAGCCACACTCTACTACCTACCTGGTTACCTGATCCCGGGTGCACTCCCAAAACGCCTCACACCCATCTCCAACTATAAGATTTGCTTACCCAGTCTCCCTTCAAGACGGCGTATCTCGTCTTGAAAGCTGCGTGCAGCTTGTCAGGCGTTACAAGCTTTGCCTGGTCGATTGAAACAGGGAAATTAATGTAGTGGAGAGCTTCAGAGGATTAGGGGTCCGATTTGAAGTGCGCAACAATGCATGTGTCTTAACAACAGAACCTGAACGCTGGTTTTGCCTTGATGAAACCCCTGGGCCCATGGGCTGTCAAGGGAAGCCCTTGGGAACCGGGGCGCTGACGACATTTTTGTTGGTTTATCTTGGGCTTCTTATACATGGATTCTCAAGAAGTCACAACATTGACACGCACGTACCTTCTCTTGCGCCACATGCTTGGTGTTGTCCAAGTTGTCATCCTCGGCCTCTGAATCCACGCGTTCGAGCATTGCCACCTGAGCAAACCCAGTCAGCTCCCGTTGCTCTTAAAAAATTTTACAAGCGGTGCCCTGAAGCATGTACTCCCTTCCCCCCCGCCCAAGTTTTTGCTACCCGCCGCGCCCCGTACTTCTATATGGCTGCGGAAAAAGTGCTTCATGCTACTAGCAACATATCTAAGGCTTGATATCGGGGGGAGAGATTCATCACAGTCCCCTACTGGGGGTCCCCATGAACCTTGCTTCAATCATAGCCCCCCACCTGAGCGCAATTCAGCTCCGACATCAACTCCCCAAAGGGCTCCCAGAGAGCGATGAAGTTGGAGAAGAAGATGATGCCCTCGTCATAGGTCAACGTGCCACTGTTGTCCTGTGCAAGGGTTCTGTGCGGTTGAGGGGCATCTGGTGATTCTGCGTACTAACCGTGTATACATATGTACATATTGATTGATGTATGAACCATGCTCGTGTGCCATGATCCTGGTTAAGGAGCTGGCCATCTAGGGTTCAGGGTGATCCTGCTGGTGAGTTGCTTCTATACAACGCAGCTCATCGTATACGTCGATGTGGCACCATTGACTTGGCAATCTATAAGCAGTTCTCCTGCGTTGAGGCCATTTTTGATGCTTTCTCAACAGTAGCTAGGTCAATGTGCAACAGTTGTCCTGGTTCAGGGTTCAGGGTTGGGATGTGGAATGCTGCTCTGAAGCAACTCATCGTAAGATGAGTGTGCAACCACTTTCTCCGGAAGTGATAAAAGCGTCCTTGTCATGGTACTTGAAAGACCTCTTGATCACCGGGGTCAGCTCATCATCGATCCGTTTCTGGGTTGCTTTCTGCACCACTTCCATCTTGTTGACCAACTTCCGCATGATCCCGAGGCACTTCTTCATGGCCTGGCAAGCGTTGTTCCAAAAACTCCTATGCCCAAAAGGGTCCATACCCTTAAGAATAAGTTATGTTAGACGGCGGCCAGGAGGCTAGCGAACTGGGCAAAACAAAGACCCTGAAAACCATTCCGAACAGGGTTTTTGGCTATAGGGCTCCAGGTTTAGGGCTGAAAAGACTCGACCTTGTCAGATCTGAGGATCTCGAAGGACTTATAAAGACTTAGACCGTGAGAGTATAGGGGACATCAAAATACCGGGCGCGTCAACATACACCTGGCAAAAAAAAGAAATACTGCTGCTGTAAGGATGTAGAATATGCCTCCCCTCAAACCTCAAATTCGACTATCTGACGTGTAGCCGTGCAGAGCTGACATTCGAGCGGCAACTGTCTCGTCCACACCCTCAATGCCGTCATCAAACTCCTGGGTTGGGCGGTACGGAACACACGAACTGGAAACCCTTAAGACACCTTTTCTTTGCTTTTGAATCACCTCAAACCTACACAAAGTACCCCGAAGGGGTATCAACTTCTGATGTTTAAGGTTTAGGGATGTACGGGAAAAAGGGTTTAGGGTTTTGGGTTTAGGGTCATCCACCGGAAGCCGCAGCCTGCCAAGCTTTGCTGATCGCACGGAGAGAGAGAGGGAGGGAGGGAGAGGGAGGGTGAGACTCCTAGAGAATCGGTTGCTGTGAGAGAAGGTACGGCCTTGAGGGCTTAGCCTGCTGGGTGGCTCTGGGACTTTCGGATTTATAGGGTTTAAGGTTTAGTGTTTATATTGAACCCTATAAACTATAAACCTTACACTTGAAGGTCTGGCGTTGCCACGGCTTTTGGGCTGTCACCGTTGTCGTCCGCTTGGTGGCTTGGACGGATTTGGGCTGTGACAGTGTCGTCCGCTTGGTCCGCTTCTTGGGCGGTTTTGGGCTGTCACGGTGTTGTCCGCTCGGTCCGCTTGTTGGGCGGCTTTGGGCTGTGACAGTGTTGGGCGGTTTTGGGCTGTCACGGTGTGGTCCGCTTGGTCCGCTTGGGCGGTTTTGGGCTGTCACGGTGTGGTGTTGTCCGCTTGGTCCGCTTCTTTGGCGGTTTTGGGCTGTCACGGTGTTGTCCGCTTGTTCCGCCTGGGCGGTTTTGAGCTCACGGTGTCGTCCGCTTGGTCCGCTTGGGCGGTTTTGGGCTGTCAATCCGCTTGGTCCGCTTCTTTGGCGGTTTTGGGCTGTCACGGTGTTGTCCGCTTGGTCCGCTTGCTGTTTTGGGCTGTCACGGTGTTGTCCGCTTGGTCCGCTTGGGCGGTTTTGGGCTGTCATGGTGTTGTCCGCGTCCGCTTCTTTGGCGGTTTTGGGCTGTCACGGTGTTGTCCGCTTGGTCCGCTTGGGCGGTTTTGGGCTGTCACGGTGTCGTCCGCTTGGTCCGCTTGGGCTGTTTTGGGCTGTCACGGTGTTGTCCGCTTGGTCCGCTTCTTTGGCGGTTTTGGGCTGTCACGGTGTTGTTCGCTTGGTCCGCTTGGGCGGTTTTGGGCTGTCACGGTGTTGTCCGCTTGGTCCGCCGCTTCTTTGGCGGTTTTGGGCTGTCACGGCGTTGTCCGCTTGGTCCGCTTGGGCTGTTTGGGCTGCCACGGTGTCGTCCGCTTGGTCCGCTTGTGCGGTTTTGGGCTGCCACGGTGTTGTCCGCTTGGTCCGCTTGGGCTCGTCCGCTTGGTCCGCTTCTTTGGCGGTTTTGGGCTGTCACGGTGTTGTCCGCTTGGTCCGCTTGCTGTTTTGGGCTGTCACGGTGTTGTCCGCTTGGTCCGCTTGGGCGGTTTTGGGCTGTCATGGTGTTGTCCGCTTGGTCCGCTTGGGCGGTTTTGGGCTGTCACGGTGTTGTCCGCTTGGTCCGCTTCTTTGGCGGTTTTGGGCTGTCACGGTGTTGTCCGCTTGGTCCGCTTGGGCTCGTCCGCTTGGTCCGCTTCTTTGGCGGTTTTGGGCTGTCACGGTGTTGTCCGCTTGGTCCGTTTGGGCTGTTTGGGCTGTCACGGTGTCGTCCGCTTGGTCCGCTTGGGCGGTTTTGGGCTGTCACGGTGTTGTCCGCTTGGTCCGCTTCTTGGGTGGTTTTGGGCTGTCACGGTGTTGTCCGCTTGGTCCGCTTGGGCGGTTTTGGGCTGTCACGGTGTTGTCCGCTTGGTCCGCTTGGGCGGCTTTGGGCTGCCACGGTGTTGTCCGCTTGGTCCGCTTGGGCGGTTTTGGGCTGTCATGGTGTGGTGTTGTCCGCGTCCGCTTCTTTGGCGGTTTTGGGCTGTCACGGTGTTGTCCGCTTGGTCCGCTTGGGCTGTTTGGGCTGTCACGGTGTCGTCCGCTTGGTCCGCTTGTGCGGTTTTGGGCTGCCACGGTGTTGTCCGCTTGGTCCGCTTCTTTGGCGGTTTTGGGCTGTCACGGTGTTGTCCGCTTGGTCCGCTTGGGCGGTTTTGGGCTGTCACGGTGTTGTCCGCTTGGTCCGCTTCTTTGGCGGTTTTGGGCTGTCACGGCGTTGTCCGCTTGGTCCGCTTGGGCTGTTTGGGCTGTCACGGTGTCGTCCGCTTGGTCCGCTTGGGCGGTTTTGGGCTGTCACGGTGTTGTCCGCTTGGTCCGCTTCTTTGGCGGTTTTGGGCTGTCACGGTGTTGTCCGCTTGGCCCGCTTGGGCTCGTCCGCTTGGTCCGCTTCTTTGGCGGTTTTTGGCTGTCACGGTGTTGTCCGCTTGGTCCGCTTGGGCAGTCCGCTTGGTCCGCTTGGGCTGTTTTGGGCTGTCACGGTGTTGTCCGCTTGGTCCGCTTGGGCGGTTTTGGGCTGTCACGGTGTTGTCCGCTTGGTCCGCTTGGGCGGTTTTGGGCTGCCACGGTGTTGTCTGCTTGGTCCGCTTCTTTGGCGGTTTTGGGCTGTCACGGTGTTGTCCGCTTGGTCCGCTCGGGCTGTTTGGGCTGTCACGGTGTCGTCCGCTTGGTCCGCTTGGGCGGTTTTGGGCTGCCACGGTGTTGTCCGCTTGGTCCGCTTCTTTGGCGGTTTTGGGCTGCCACGGTGTTGTCCGCTTGGTCCGCTTCTTGGCGCTTGGTCCGCTTCTTTGGCGGTTTTGGGCTGTCACGGTGTTGCTTCGCAGGGTTGGGCTTGATAGGGGTTAGGGTGTCTATGAAAGCTGACAGGTCTTTTGTGAGATCCATGCTTCAACTTGGTTCTGGTGGCCCTCTGATTTGATGCAACGATTAAGAAGGGGGGTGGCCTCTGGGGGGGGTGGGGGGGGTGGGTGGGGGCGATTTTCATATACCAGTTAAGGGTCGGGGTCGCTTGTTGACCTACCTGAACACTAGAAAGGTTGTAAACGACAAATCTGAACATGACCCCCCATTCACCCTTTCTGCTTTCGATTAAGTATACAGCCTCAATGCTACGACGACCGCTGGAATCACTGTCTCTTCACCTCTACCCCTGAACCTACAGCAACAACTCCTGAACCAACCCTTGCCTCTAACTCCTAAACGGGCCACTCCCTAAACGCTATAGCCTGGCTCCTAAACCAGCCCTAAACCAGTCAAGACACCTTCTGCATCTTCACCATCTCCTTCTGTACGTTCAGCACCTGTGGAAGTTCCAAGCTTCTCAAGAATTAAAACTGCTTGGGTTTAGGGTTTAGGGTTTAGGGATTACTTGGGGGCTCGGAATCTTTCAGGGCTTCGGGTTGTGATGCCAACATGAGGGCATCTTGCGGCGCGCTGGCGTGTTTGGCGAAAACTTCGTACAACTTTGCTCCCAAAGGGGGGACGAGTATAGAGGCCTCAATCATCAGAATAGGGACTTTGGCAGTGGAGTGCAAGTACACTATATTTAGAGGGCGAGCATATTGGAGTTTGGTTTTTCAGGCTACCGTACCCACCCTGAGTCATGGTCCCAAAGCAGTCCAATGTCAGTTCCCCCGCCTGTCGGGGCTTGGGCCTAGGCTTCGAGGTTTTAGGGTTTTGGGGTTTTAGGGTTTTGGGGTTTTAGGGTTTTAGGGTTTTGGGGTTTTAGGGTTTTAGGGTTTGGGGTTAGGGTTCCCTTCCCCTTCAGAGCAAAGAGCAGCTGCAACACAGTGGGCGGTCAAAATTCTGTTCACTCTTTGATTGCCCTCCACATTAAAGACTGCAAAACGAGAGCAGAGTTCTGACAACCCCTCGCAGCAGGGCTGTTATGTGACAAAATTGGAGCGCCTTCTCAAGATCCAAAGGGGGGAGCCCCTCAACCCTCCCAACTATGCCAGGTTGTTGGAGGTTTGCAAAAGGGGAGCCTCAATACATTGCAGTAATTAGCCACCGAAAGCATGAGGGGCGCTCAGGGGCGTAGTCTAATGTTTGGGCCACTGTACCGATTGATTGGTGCCGATTTGGAGGCTGCACGAATCAGGGACCTTGGCACCCCAGGCTTGAGGCTTGGCTGTTGTAGACTCAGACTTCGCTACATGGGCCATCACGAACTCAGGCCTTGTAAGGGGACCATCATCAGGGGCGTTTGGGGAGCATGGTAGGCCTTTCCAACGGGAGCAGACAGGCGAGTGCGTGGGTTAGGAGGCCACCCCTCTGGTCAGCACCTCGGCATCCACATCTTTGAAGTTGCGCTTGAAGATGTCCAGGGAGAGGAGGAAGTACTGCCTAGGATCTCAAAAATCACGGCCAGAAAAATTTTTCCCCAGCCCTACACCCCAAACCCGCACTAACAACCCTTTTTGCAAGCAGAATAACACTTAAACCCCAAACCTACATCTGGCATCCGAGCTTCTCCAGATGTGGGGCGCGGCAGAGCCACTGGACCATTTCCTCGAAGACTTTCAGAGCCCAAGTCACTTCCCCTAGGCATAGAAGGGCTCTATAGGGGTGTGACTCCTTTGGCATTTTGCGGCATCACGGCGCCACCCTGAGCCTCATAAGCCCTAGGAGCTACTGTAGTTCAGGCACTAGAAGTGGTGCAAGATCTCCTTGCCCCTTGTGATGAATACATGTTCCAATATACCAGAATGAGAACATCCAGTATTACGGGGTGGGAGTAAGGAGGCTCTCATAACAGCGAAGAAAACATCCAATCTCTAAAAGTCTGCACTGCAACTTGGCCTGTCGAGAGAATAAGGTTTGTTGTACTTCGTTCGTATTCTGATTTTGCAGAAGATATTCGGGCCCATATCCTCAAACCAATAGGGACAAGTTAACATCCCAACTCAAACATAGTACAGTGCACGAGCAATGCGGATGCTCGTGATTATCTGCATGTGTCTGCAATTGGAAGCACGTCGGAATGAGACCAAAGACACAAGCCACAGCCAACATTCCATAGCCGCTACATCCTCATGATACAGCATACTCAACGAGGTGGCACACTGCTCCTCATAGTTGATCTTGCCATCCATATCCAAATCGGCCTCCTTCAACCTTGGCTGACTGACTTTGCACTGGCCGTAGCCTGTAAGGAGTATCTCAATGAAGTAGGGCAAAGGACAAGGAAATCCTTGTGTCTTTCTGTACTTTCTACGTTTGTTCCTACGTTCTCGTCCATTGGTCATGGAAAGGAGTATGCGGCATCATTTTCGTTCCGTGCCAACCAGAAAACAGCCAAGCAACATGACGTTCAGATCGACTTCGGTGGTGGAGCACCCCAGGGCGTTCAACACCACGGACAGTTCATCCTGAAAAACTTCCATAGCTTGGCTTGGGGTTTAGGATTGAAGGGTTCCAGGGGCTAAGGTGCTGGTTTTTTTTTTGACATAGGTATTGAAGATGGAGAGGCCTATGGCATTGTGGGGTAGTTGGTTCCACAAATGTCCCTCCTCCCTATCGAGAAGGGATCCCGGCGAGGACTCCTCAGCCACAACGCCCAGCATGATAGCAATTGACATGCCGCTGGGTGAAACCTTCATGCAAAGACAAAAGCAGCTCCAAACAGCATTCCACCCGCAGTCCCGATATGATTAGACCGTAGTAGACAAGGGAGCAAGCCGAATATGGGCGCCCCTGTCAAGGATTGTACAAAACGGTTTTTTTCGGAAGCTCTATGGTGACTGTATCTGCAGTGTTCGATGTGTGTACGGCATGTCCGAATGTGCATACTGTGGTATGATGCAACTTGGCCGCAACCAGCCTGACATAGGAGCCCACCTGGCTACCACCCTGACCCAAAACCATCCGAAACCAACAAACCCTAGGTTCGAGCTGTGACTTCGTCAGCTGATGAACAGCCCCGCTCCTTTGAGATGTACCCGCTGGCGTCCTTGTCCCACATTTTGAAGGCATCCAGAATCTTCCTTACCATCAAAGGAGGAATAAGGGCTGCTGTGAAGAATAAATAGGATGACAGTTGAAACCTTTTTTTGCTGCCCTTCGGGCCCAACCTAAGCAGCCCTAAGTTGCCTGACGAAGCTTCTGCTCTTTGTCTTTGGTGTCCTTGGAGCCCGCTATGGCCTGCGCGACAAGCAGGCGTGGAGGTGAACTTTGCTGGTGGTTGCTGGCCCAACAACGGTTTAGGGCTTAGGGGGTTTATCTGACCAATTAGGCCCATGTGTATACCAAGCCGCTCAGCGGACAAACCAAAACTTGAAGCAAGTTGTCTTATGCTGCGTAAGTCTAAACGCGCCCGCCATTGCTTATTAAGGCGGTGCAAAACAGAACGAAACCGAGAACCTTGAAGCCAACCGCTACTCGCCCAACCGTTAGAATCTTCTTCCTTTTGCTTAGTAGGAAATGCGGGAATTGGGGGAATGACAGTACGGGTATAGGATTATACATGGAGACTACCCTTGCGCAGTCGTTTTTTTTTTGCAGTTGGCTTTTCTCATGCATGTACAGGAGTTTCCTCATCCGTGCGCTACACCTTAGGACCTCCGAAGTTCTTGAAAACTTCATTGATTTTGGTCACAAGCTTCGGGTGTAGGGGTTTACGCCCCATGTTGTTTTGCAGCAGGGGGCCTGCTTACACATCTTCTTGATCTCAATGTCATACTTCACCTTGGATCCTGCCATGGCTCGATCGACTTACTAAATATGCATTGTGCAAGGTTGGGACTTGAGTTCAGCGGCGACAGAAGCGCGAGCAGTGCTTCCATGTTACTACGCCATCTCCTGAACCCTTTCTTGCGGCCAATATCCCTACACTTGCACCTTGCTTGCGACCACCGCTGCACTCACAACCTTGCTACACCATACTAAGCATACACTCCGACTACTTACTCATGCTTAGTCTGCTTAGTTGTCGATGTGTAAATGGCTCCACAAAAATGGCTATATCATCCTTGCAGGCCGAACAGGACCTTTACCAGCTCCCAGGATCCTCTGAGTTCCAGCTGCCAGTTTCTACAGATTTCCACACCCCCCCCCCCCCCCCCCCCCCGCCCCCCCAGACTGCGTGGTATGTGTCGGTGTGGTGCTCACCAAGTAGCACGGTGCATTGGTTCACGTGAACGAACCTGCCAGCCGGTTGAGGATGGCAGCCCCGCTTTCTGATCCTGCATGGGTTTGGGGTTGATGAGGTCTCTGGGACTCTGGGATGCGGGCTTTCGGGTCAAAGACTTCGCGGGTACCCTCTCTTTGTTTTTTTTTTTTCTCTCTCTCTCTCTCTCTCTCTCTCTCTCTCTCTCTTCTCTCGCTCTCTCTCTCTCTCTCTCTCTCTCTCTCTCTCTCTCTCTCTCTCTCTCTCTCTCTCTCTCTCTCTCTCTCTCTCTCTCTCTCTCTCTCTCTCTCTCTCTCTCTCTCTCTCGCTCTCTCTCTCTCGCCGGAAGATGGCGGGACTCAAGCGACGGAGCTTCAGCAGCAAGGACGCTTTCGGTTTCCAAATTTGAGATATGGCTGCACATATGTGCTACGATCAAACTCACTAAGAACTTCCCAGACGGCGTACGATTCGTATGCATGCCAGAAACATGAGGGTGCAAGGTGTCAACGTTGGCGTGAAGATTCCCACATAATCCGTTTGATCATCCACAAACACAAGCCAGAGGTCCATGACCTTGCAAAGCCCCCATGTCCCGCATCCTCACTTGAGCACCCACTAGACTCACTAGACTGAACGGGCCATGGCCGGTGCTCTTTCACATGACCACACTTAAAGCACCGGTGTCTAGTGTCCGAACTGTCAGAAAAGTCCCACAGACCCAGCAAGCCTACAGGGCCGACATTCTGGGATCCCGAAGGCCTCCTTCGATTGCCCGTCCAGGCTCTGAACCGGGCCACGCCGTCGACGACGGCCTAGATGCATTTCGCATGAGATGCAGGACATGTACGAGGTGCTTCGAGTTGAGGCAAGCCAGTTGAAGGTACGTTGCTGTTTGGCTGTTCCAGCACTACCACACAAGTCGGCTGACCGGAGCTTTTCGCAACAGCGCATGCGAAAGTACGAGCCTTGAGTCCTGCGTGTTTGGGACGCGCCTCTCGGAGACAAGACCAGGGGCCGTCACCAACACGTCTTGCTGGCTGTACAAAAGCGGTGCTCGTGTTACACGAGCAACTTCTCTCTTGCTGGGCCCCCACTTGCTTCGCAAGCTTTCGTCGGAAACCTCAAAATAGGAGAATCTCAGGCCGTTTCAGGCTGCTCGTGCTGCTGCCTTCGGGCGGCATAGAGCCGGGTCCACTCCTTGGCCTGTGCATCAAACTCTGCTGGGTTGTCCTGGAGCTGCCGAGCAGCTTCCGGATTCGGCAAATCCACCCGGTCTCGCTCTTGTGGATACATTCGAAGGATAAACTCCGGCTTCTCCATTCTCTCGTAGATTTCCTGCAAGAGTTTGGGAATCGTGTTGGCAGGACTCCAAACATCACTGGTGTCCCTGATGCCTTTGATGCGTCCCTTTCCAACATGTGCCGCCCAAATCTCCGTGCGGAAGGACACCCTGGGTGGCTTGAAAGGATAATCCACGGGACACACGAACTCGACGTCGAAAACCCCTTCTGCATAGGGTGTCCCGGGCTTGCCTTTGATGCTGGCGACGATCCGCTGTCGGCCAGGGTTTTCCCAAACAACTTCCTGCAGCATCTCGCCCATGTCTGGAAGCCCTCCTTGAAGCTCCCCGAGCTCCTTTTCAACACGTTTCCTGGCTCCTTTCGGCAACAGCGCATCCTTCTCAACCACCACAAGCAGGCTGAACTGCTGCGCCACCAGGTCCTCCGCAACGGATCGCAGGATGGCATCGTCTTGCAATTGCTTCTCGCCAACGAAGAGCTTGAGGCAGTAGTGCATCGGATCTTTGGCAATCCCCTTTGCGAGCTGCTGCTTCAAGTCCGCCACAGCATAGTATAACGAGCTCACCGTAACTTCGGTTTGCGCACCACTTGCTTCGCTGACTGTCAGAACAAGTGGAAAGGTGACTCCAGCTGCTGCAGCCCAGCGCTGATCCTCATCGGACGCCGCCATGTTGTCTGCACTACCGGACGCGTCGCAGGACTGCTGTGCGGGGGCTCAGCCCAAAGTTTACAGCCACGAAACAAAACTAACGATACCGAAAACGACAGCTGCCACCATGCCACTCACAGAAGCTGAGGTCGAGACTCGAAGAGCGCATCTTCTTCCAAAGGTGCATTCCAGACAGAAAACCTCGGGCATTGCCGGGCGAACGACAGGCGCCCCGACCGGAAGACGCAGCAGTAAGTTTAAAGATAGCGGCGTGGCATCCCAACAAAAAACTGACAAAACGTCGTGCAATGTGTTGTTACGGCACCGTGAAATGTTGCGACCTCGGCTCGTAGAATTGGTGACTTTGACTGCCTCAGTGTGCTTGTGTCCCTAACAAAAATGTAATGCCCGTATTTATCCCCCTCCCCATCTGCGACTTTTCCTTTTGGTGTTACAGTCTGGTCCGCTCATAAGTTGTCATGTGTCAAGGTCTGGCTTCTTCAGTCCGGTCCGGCCAGCGTTTTGAGCTGCTACCGCCTGTTCCGCTCAGGCGTTTCGAGGTGCAATTCTGGCCTGGTTCGCTCCAAAATGTTCAGGTGTCACAGGCTGGTCTGCTCAGAGATTTTAGGTGTCTTGTCCTGGCCCTCAACCTATTCGCGTGCCAACGACGAGCATGGCCGCCGCAGGTCCCATCTGCTCATGCCCGGGGGAAAATGGAGTTTGGATGGGTAGGAGAAAACAAACACAACGGCAGTCTCGGGCAACTCGGGTCTTTGCAGGTTTGGAGCCAAATGCGAGTGAACTCAGCTGCACATCCGGGACCAGCGCACGCATGTGCACATTTAGCGCACTTTGATGCTGCTTTATTCTCTCCATGGCCCCCACAAAGAACCTGCTCACCTGAACTCCGAAACTCAGCCCAAGACTCCCTTTTGTGTCTGGCTCGCGTTGCCCCGGCTGGCGGGTCATGGCGATGGTGATTGCCAAGATTTGTGTTGTGGGGTCTAAGATTGAAGGCTTAGACATGCGTAAGATTGCTTCACAACATTTGGGGCTTAGGCTTTCTTGGGTTTGCTTCGCTCGTATCGCCAATTTCCATGCGGCTCAAGTTTTTTGTTGACCTGACCATTCAGGGTAAAAAGGGTTCTTGGCCAAGTACTTTCTCAAAACATATGCCCAACTTGAGTCTTCCTGACGAAGCGGCGCGGCGGATGACAGTAAGCGGCAGCCGAAGAGCTTACGCAATGAAGGCCGCTGGTGACATCAAGGGCAGTGTGCATCCCTCGAGCAGGAATCGTCACAGAAACTTGAACACAGTTGGGGGACTTGAGGATACAGTACAGAGTCGAGCCGGATGAATGTCAGTGGTCAAGACATCCAAAAATATCTTCACCATGATGGCTGGGGCACCTTCAGCTCAGAATGCGCCATGTGAGGTTTTTGTTCCGAGGTACGTACTCTCCTATCCGAACTTCAGGATTCCAGCCCGAGCTTGTTTCAGGATGAACTATGACATGTCACTATGCAAGCCGCCTTCTCGGCCCATAACTCTCAGGTCTTTTGCACGGTCCACGACCGAAGCGTCTGCAGAGCGCGCATCATCCAACTCACCGGCTGCCGGCACCGGCCTGGCGAAGGCAAAAAGTCGTTGGGCTGGCCTGTGAAGTCATAGGCTAGTGCAGTTGGGAGGACGTTTTCTGTTTGCAATTGCTGCTGTATGCCCTGTCCCGTGTTTGGGATGTATTCCCTTCTAGACCCCCAAACAAAAGAGGAACACCTCTCGCCACCTGAGCAGGGGGTTTGTCATATTGTGGTGGGGATGCCGGTGACTTGTGTGCTCAACAAAAGAATCCTAAACGCCGTCCCGCGAAAACCATGCCATAACATGCATGTAAGCATGCCAAAGTGAAAGCATGCTACGCTTTGCGATGCTCATGTACATCGCTCGGTTGATCTTGTCGATCTCCCGAATGAAAATTAACAAAGACTCAAACTCAAAAAGCCAAAAAACCAACACTGCTTCCAGAAACGCGCGAGTGCTCGAGCAAATGGCCGCTGATGCAGCCGTTTTACACTTGTCCTACTTGCTGCTATTGTCACACTAGCCGTTTTGCCGCGTTCTGTCGGCTGTCAGTTGCACTGGGAGGCCCAGCACCACCTAGGGTTGGACCTGCTTTAATAATGTAACCCCCCCCCACCCAAACAGTCGAGGCCCCTGAAAAAAAAAACCAAACAGTCAGGCAGGGAAGGGGTCAGGAGGGGAACCAGATCTCAAACTAAGAACTTGGACCTCAAAAACCATTAAAAAAAACAGTCGCGGCCCGAAAGCTCTTCATTATAGTGTACCCCCAAAACAAAGGGCCAAAATCCTGAATAGCCGAAAAACTTTTCGTAATAGCGTCCCCCTAGAATATTGCGGGTGCAACATTAATGCCCTAAAACCTAAACTAAACCCAAAACCTTTAAACACTAAGCCCTAAAACCCAGACCCCTCGAAAACTAAGCCCCAAACTAAAAACCAACCCCGCCAGGTTTGCATTTTGGGGCATTCGCGGTTTAAGGGTTAGGGCTTTGCACTGCAGGGATCCTAAGGAACAAAGCCTAAGCCCGCAAAACCCCATGCCCAAAAGCCTACATCGCAAGACATCTACGTTCCCCTGAAACCACGGATAGCCGGACAACCCAAGACCCCTTAAATAAGGATACTTCCTTCATGTAGCGCAGGGATCCAAGGTCCCTAATGTAAGGGTGGCATGTTTAAATGGGGTGTCAATAGTAATGTTCGGCGGGCCAGAGGGCCCCGGCCCAAGACTACGTTCCATTACGGGAGGTTTTCGGGCTGATGTGTGTAAACAAACCCATTTGGGCGGTCCGATGATAATAACGGGGTCACAATTGTAAAACTCGGCTGGCCAGGAACCTAAAATTTCACTGAAGATTGCTTAAGAGTTCCATTGCAGAAAAGACTTCTCAGCTGAGCTGGCTTGAACGAGCTCCAGAAAAGCTTCAGTCTTTAGAGAAGCAGATCTCGTTTGAGATTGCTGCAGCTCCAGAGCTGAGAGAAACAGCTCCTTCCGACTTGGGCCTTCAGAGAAGCAGACCTCGTTTGAGATTGCTGCAGCTCCAGAGGGGCTGAGGCAGGCAGCCTTGCTACAGAAGTCCCTGCTCCCAGATAAGCAAAAAGCTTTGAAAGACTTACAGTGCCTGAGCCGCCCCAAAGAAGTAGCCGAACCCATTTGCTAGGTTGCAGAGACATGGAAGCTCAAGCCCTGCAGCAAAGCCTCAGCCAGTCTGAGGCTTAAGAGAAGAATCCTTTGAGCCTAAGGCTTCAGCCTCCGGGTCCTGGAATTCCGGAAGCCGCCAGAGTTCTCAAAGCAAGGTTGCCTTACTTAAATCCTTATCCGCCGGGGGATCGAAAACAAATCCGGAAAGGGTACCCCTTACGGGCATCCAAAATGACAATAATCAAGGGGTGGCAACAATAATTTCCGAGATGGGGGAGGCCGGGAAACCAAGGAAACCTCAAGTTTAAGCAAAGGCTGTCTTTAAGGCGTAAGATAAGAATCCTTTAAGCTTGAGACTTCAGCTTTCGGGTCCTGGTCCCAGGCTTAAGAGTAACCCTCGAAAACAAGCCAAAGCAGACCCTCCTTGACAGCTGACGCCCCTGAGACCCACAGGAATATTTTATTGTCACCACCTCCGTTTTTCCACCCTCAAAACCTCGGAAACCAAGACAAAATCTGGGGGGGGAGGGGGGTTGTTAAAGCCTCCGGAACAGGAGGAAGAGGAGGAGGAGGAGGAGGAGGAGGAGGAGGAGGAGGAGGAGGAGGAGGAGGAGGAGGAGGAGGAGGAGGAGGACCCTAAACCCTAAACCCTAAAACCTAACCCTAAACTCTAAACCCAAACCCTAACAAAAACGCACACAGCAACTGAACGAGCTGCCTTAAAAAAACCACACATCACGCAAAAGCCAGAACCCTAAGCAAGTTGCTCCCTACCAGGGGCCATGGTCCATACGTGGAGGTTCAGGGGTACTGAAAAGGTTTACAGGGTTTTTTTTTCCACCTGCCTAGCAGCCTCGCAACCACACTGCAGGGATGCACACGGTCCATGTCATATGTCCAGGGTTTAGGGTTAAGGGTTTAGGGTTCGGGAGGTGGGAGGTGAGGTGCTCGGGCGCGAGTTTCGGAGATTGTGTGGGGCGATCGCGTGTGTCGGCCACTCGGTGTTCGGGTACAAGGCTGCAGGGTTTAGGCTTGACGGTTCAATTGGTTTAAATGTTTAGGGTTTAGGATTCCTAAACCCTAATGAGAACTCACCATATAGGGATTAGGGGCACTAAAAAGAAAAATGATTTTCAAATCAGTTTTTGTCCAACCCAAACAACCCTAGCTCAAACCAAACGAAGCCTCAAGCCCTAAACCTAAAAGCCTGGAACACAAGTAACCCCGCACCCTAAACCCTAAACCCTCAACCCTGAACCTTTGCAGGCCAGGAGCCGCAGGAGGAGGCGTCGCTAGGCGCGCTGCTCCCCCCGAAGCCCCAGAAGCCTTGCATTACCCCTGTGGTCCCCTCAGCACTTATAACCCTAAACCCTAAAGGCCCTAAACCTTAAAACCTAACACCCTAAATGCCTGAAGCCCGAAACTCTTCACCCCTCAAGGGCCCCTGCGACCCCTTCCGCCTCAAGCTGCATGGACAGCCTGCCCAAGCCATCGGCTACCAATGCTAGCAGGGTTTGGAGGGCGTGCCAAATAACATGGGTTGGGGGGAGGGGGGGGGGGGGTATGAAACATTCAGAGCTTCAATTCGGGTCTGTAAGGGTTGAGGGTTTTTAAACACCAAGGGAAATCAAAAAGGAGATCGTGCGGGGGAGGGGGGGGGGGGTAAACCCACAAGACCTGGAGGTCGAAGTCTAAAAACCCGAAACGCGCCTCGCGAACACGTCAGTTGCCGGAGCCGCCGCGTCCCATTGCAGCGGCAGCGCCTCCAGCGAAACTAGCTGCATGACAGTCGATTAATATTCTTACCAAACACCTGATGTAATTTATCAATAAAATCAACTCGGGTTACAACACTGTAAGTGAGTAAAGCCAAAGCAGGGACACTTCTTTCTCTGTTGCCGTATCGCGACTTTCTTTTCTTCCTGTTCAAGGTTGTCTAGTTAATCTTTCATCGCCTCTACTAGAAATATCACTTTCCCCCACAATTCTAATGTCTACATGCATTCAGCTCTGTTTCCCTTCGGAAAATGCAGAAGGAGAGAATCCAGTATCAGTATCAGTGCAAGTGTGGAAAGCAAGACCAAAGCAAGACCAAAACGCATTCTTCAGGCTGCGAAAAACGCATTCGCGCAGTGTGCGGTCGTCTATGTCTATTGGGCTGTTTGTGTTTCGACACAGCGTGCAAACAGATCAAACTCAAATCCAAAAGTAGAAAAAGATGGGTGTTCTGCGACCAACAACGACCCCGCATGCACCCCAGGGCATGCCAAATGCATTTTTCGCTGCCCGCGGGATGCATTTGGCAACCGTCGTGTTGCATGCCGGTGTGCATTGCCCAAGGCCGCTAAAGGCAGCTACGCGATTTTTCATACCGGATAGATCGACCCCGGGCGGAAAAGACATAAAATTCGGACGCAGGGTCCAAGCTGCCAACGCCATCGGAGTGCGCGAGGCGGTCGTGAAGGCCGCTGATGAAGAAACTACCCTTGCAGGTACACATGGGCTTGGCTGAAAACCGCCCTTTTTTACTTACTGTGTTCTTAGCAAGTTCTGAGAAATTATGTGATTCGGGACTTGGGTAGCCTTGCTAGTATCTCCCTACGTGACCTTTGAAAGGGGGGGCAACTAGGAACCAAGTAGCACTAAACTTTAAGATCTCAAACCCAAAACCTTGAAGCCTAAACCTTAAACCCTACACCCCAGATCTCAACCCTCGAAGATTTAACCCCTCCAACCTAAATCCTAAGCCACTGGTTTTGGGCTTAGGCACTTGAAGAGGTTGTTATGTCGGGCTGACGGAGTTTAGCTTAGGCTTCAGGGTTGCAGAAGTTGCCCCCTATAGGTTCTATCCAGTCATCTCCAAGGGGTAAGGGCGTAGGGTTGAAGATTTTGTGGTTTAGGGCCGCGCAGAATGAAACAATAAAGCCCTCCCCCTAAACCCTAAATCCTAAGCCTTAAACCCTCAAGCCTCACCCCGGAACCCCAAACCCTCGACTCTAAACCCTCAGCCCCCCACAGAGACACCTTGAATTCCACAAGGCCCGGTACGGGTTTCAGGGTCCAACCGATCAGCATTTAAGTGGTTGAGGTGGGGGGAATAAGGTAGTGGATTCGGGCGCAACCCTAGCTTCCCGAAGCTCCCTCAGTGCACGCCAAGGCTCGTCGTTGTGCCAGGTGCAGTCGATCTGGCAGCGGTTCGGAGTTCGGCGGTTTAGGGTTTAGGGTTTTGGGTGCTAAAGTTGCCTTGAAGTAAATTTCAGCATGTCCTAGTGGCGAGAATTTCTCAAGCCCAAAACCTTGAAAGATCTTGAAAGCCTTCAACCCTACACCCCAGATCTCCCTGTTAAACCCTCCAACCCAAATCCTAAACCACTGGGGCTTAGGTACTTGAAGAGTTCTTGGGGCTTGGGGTTTAAGTAGGGTTAGGTTCTCAATCGTTATAAGTGGGCCTGAAGGGTTTTATCTTAGGGTTCAGGGTTTTAGAAGTTACCCCTATAGGTACTATAGGTTCTAACCAGTCATCTCCAAGGGGTAGGGGTTCGAGGGCGTAGGGTTGAGGATTTTGTGGTTTAGGGCCGTGCAGAATGAAACAATAAAGCCCTCCACCCTCAACCCTAAACGCTAAACCCTGAGCCCTAAACCCTTGCTTCTTGGACTTGCAAATAGAAGGCGGAAAAGATATGAGAGTTAATTAGGGTCCCAAGCACCCAATAGTGCTTCGAGCGAACCCTACAACACCTCCGAAGCACATTGGCCTCAAAACAACACAACTCCTCGTTACTACTTGTGAGCAAACCGGAGCCGTCTGGATTGGGGGAGGCGAGCGAAAGGCTCAGCCGAAACGCGGACTCTGAACATAAACCCTCATCCCTCAACTCCCGACCCCTCACAGAGAGGCCTTGAATTCCACAAGCCCCGGTACAAGGCAACTTGAAATCTAGCCCTTGGACCCAAAAAATAATCAGAGCCCTGAAGCGGTTTAGGGTTTAGGGTCTAGGGTGAAACCGATGCTGGTCTTGGAAACTTGGAACCCTGGCAAAGACTAGACTTTTTGCTGTTTAAGATCCCCCCCCTGCTCCCCCAACCCCGCTCCCCTGACCCTAGACCCTAAACCTTAAATCCGCAACCCTATCCAGAGTCGGGTAGCTGCTGTATGGAGAGCTTCCGGGTGAAACTGGTGATCGGGGTAGCACTGGTCATTGCGACCTCAGGGGCTTAGGGTGTGGGGTTGCGAAAATAGGGCTTGGGGTTAGGGTTGAAGGTGCAGGGTATGGCGGTTAAAGTGCAGCGAAAAGGGCTTGGGTTTGGGGTATAGGTTTGTATCGGGTTTGAACTACGGTAGAGGCCTCACCCTCTGCACCATGAGCAACGTAGGGTTTGGCTTGGAAGCAATTGTTCTGCCTCCAAAGCAGTGCAAGTCGCAGCAGCGGCGCAAAAAGGAGAGGCTGCAAGATCTAAAAACGAGAAAAACCTCTAAAACCTCTAGAACAGCTTCCAAGTTCTAAGTGTTACCTCGCTGTTTTGACTTGGTGTTCTGATCCACATCGTCCACATCGTCCGCTCTCTCTGCTGAGCCAAAATATTGGCCCGGCGGGTTGAGGGGTTTTGGGGCTCTTGAGGGGGCTCAGGGGTTTCAGGGGGGTTCGGCTTTAGGGCCGGCCGCTAGCTCTGAGATCAGGGTTGAGGGTTAAGGGCTTTGGGTTTGGGGTTTAGGGATTTCGTACTTGGTTTTAGGGCTTCGGGTCAAGGATTCTGTACTTATACGGCATCTGAATTGCTCAGCTTCAGGCATTCAGGATTGACTTGTCATGGGCGGTGCAACGATACTTTTTATGGAGAAGAGGTCATCCGAGTCTTTGTTTTGGGTTATCTGCGTCTTTTTTGGGGGGTTATCTGCGCCTTTTTTTGGGTTATCTGCGTCTTTTCGTCTGGGTTTCCTGCAGGGCGTCACACTTTTGGCTTCTGGTGTTGTCCAAGTTGTCATCCTCGGCCTCTGAAACCAGAGCAAACCCAGTCAGCTCCCGTTGCTCTTCAAATTTTACACGTGGTGTCCTGAAGCATGTACTCCCTTCCCAACCCCCCCCCCCCCCCCCCCCCCCCCCCCCCCCTCCCCACCCAAATCTTTACCACCCGCCGCAACCCCTACTTCTATATGGCTCCGGAATATTTCTTGATGCCACCAGCAGTATATCTAACCCCCCACTTGGGTGCTATGAACCCTGCTTCAAACGCGGCGCCCCACCTGAGCGCAATTCAGCTCCGAAATCAACTCCCCAAAGGGCTCCCAGAGAGCGATGAAGTTGGAGAAGAAGATGATGCCCTCGTCATCGGTCAACGTGCCCCTGTTGTTCTGTTCAAGGGCTCCGTGCGGTTTAGGAGTATCTGGTGATGCTCGCCACCCTGGTCCTGGATAAGGATTTGTCCATCTAGGGGTTAGGGTGATTCTGCTGGTGGGCTGCTTCTATAGAAATAAGCTCTTCATAGGTCGATGGTCCTGCTTGTGACTGGGCAATCTTCTACAAGAATTTGTCCTGCCTGAAGGCCATTTTGGATTCTTATGATTCTTCCTCAACAGTAGCTAGGTCAATGTGCAGCAGTTGCCCTGGTTCGGGGTTCAGGGTTGGGATGTGGAATGCTGCTCTGAAGCAACTCATCGTAAGATGAGCATGCAACCCTTTCTGTCCGGAAGTGAAAAACGCGTCCTTGTCATGGTACTTGATCACCGGGGTCAGCTCATCATCGATCCGTTTCTGAGTCGCTTTCTGCTCCACCTCCATCTTGTTGGCCAATTTCCGCATGATCCCGAGGCACTTCTTCATGGCCTGGCAAGCGTTGTTCTAAAACTCTTATGCCCCACAAGGGGCCATACCTTTATGGATAAGACGGTGGCCAGGAGACTAGCGAACTGGGCAAAAAAGGAGCCTGAAAACCATTCCGAACAGCGTTTTTGGCTGTAGGGCTCCGGGTTTAGGGCTGAAAAAAGGCTCGACCTTGACCTTGTCAGATCTAAAGGATCTTAAGGGACTTATCAGACGTCGAGTTTCAGGGTATAGGGGACATCAGACGCATCAACATCTGGCAAAAACAGAAATACTGCTGCTGTAAGGACGAAGAATATGCCCCCCCTCAAACCGCACCTCAAATTCGACCATCTGGCGTGTAGCCGTGCAAAGCTGACATTCGAGCGGCAACTGTCTCGTCCACACCCTCAATGCCGTCATCAAACTCCTGAGCTGGGCGATACAGGACACACGAACAGGAAAACCTCAAAACACCTTTTGCTTTTGAGTCACCTCAAACCTACCCAAAGTATCCCGACGGGGTATCATCTTCTGACGTTTAAGGTTTAGAGTTTAGAATATATAGGGGTTTATAGGGTATATGTGCCATGGACCTTTACGTATAATGTGGGAACCGCTTTTTTTCAAGCTTAAAACTTGTCTGTGCAAGTAGTTAGAGCACTAAACTGAAAATCAAACCAATCGTAAATTGCAAGTTCCTCCTCGCAAATTCCCTCGAACACAACACCAAACCAAATATGAGCATTAACTTCTGCAACGCGGACAAAACCTTTAGAAAGACATGTTCAACCAAGAATACAAGTTTAACTCTGCCTTTACAAACACTTCAATCCAAAGTCCAAACCAAAGTAAACACAACTTGTGTTGCCCCGAAGTTTTAAAAACGCTACGAATCAAACATTGAATCTTGCCTGTGTAGACACTCGTAAACAAGAATCCGAAATAAAAGGTGGGCACGAAAACCTGCCCTTCTACAAAACACATAATAAGTATGTGACATAGATTTATATATGAGTGTATATATATGGACACACCCCCCCCCCATGACCCACCCAGATCTGTTTCCCTTGTAAATACCGTTTAAAACCCGCTCGTGCCCTATGCCGTTTTTTGCTACTCTCAATGGCTGTCTCTCGACAAAACAGACCCCACACGGACCTTTTTTTGCTACTCTCAGTGGATGTCTCTTGACAAAACAGACCCCACACGGACCACAGGATTAGACGCCGACACGGGCAAAACCAAAAAACCAAAAAACTATCTTTTTTAGAGAATGGGGCGGGATGTTGAAAAAGATGTTTTTTTTGGTTTTGCCTCGTAAAAAGATGGTTTCTCATAGAAAAACCAACTTTTCCCTCGTAAAAAGATGGTTTTCCTGAAGAACACCAAGCCGAAACCATCTTTTTACGAGGGAAAAGTTGGTTTTTCTATGAAAAAACCATCTTTTACGAGGCAAAACCAAAAAACCAAAAAAACCATCTTTTTTAGAGAATGGGGAGGGGGTTTCGAAAAAGATGGGTTTTTTTGGTTTTGCCTCGTAAAAAGATGGTTTTGCATAGAAAAACCAACTTTTCCCACGTAAAAAGATGGTTTTGGCCTGGTCTGCCTCAGGAAAACCATCTTTTTGCGAGGCAAAAGTTGGTTTTTGGCTCCAAAACCATCTTTTTACGAGGTAAAAGTTGGTTTTTGTCTCCAAAACCATCTTTTTGAGAGGCAAAAGTTGGTTTTTGGCTCCAAACCATCTTTTTACGAGGTAAAAGTTGGTTTTTCTCTCCAAACCCATCTTTTTGCGAGGCAAAAGTTGGTTTTTCTATGCAAAACCATCTTTTTACGAGGCAAAACCAAAAAAAACATCTTTTTCGAAACCCCCTCCCCATTCTCTAAAAAAGATGGTTTTTTTTGGTTTTTTGGTTTTGCCTCGTAAAGGATGGTTTTTCATAGAAAAACCAACTTTTCCCTCGTAAAAAGATGGTTTCGGCTTGGTGTTCTTCAGGAAAACCATCTTTTTACGAGGGAAAAGTTGGAATTTCTATGAGAAACCAACTTTTTACGAGGCAAAACCAAAAAACCATCTTTTTCAGCATCCCCTCCCCCTCCTCTAAAAAAGATGGTTTTTTGGTTTTTTGGTTTTGCCTCGTACCTCTCTCGGGCCAGAGCCGTTCAGATTTACATGTAGCTGTCCAGTGGACGGTTTTCTTTCGAAGCACGACGTGTCATCATGCTTGGAGGCTCTTTCTTTTCAGCGGGAAAAAGTTGGTTTTGGTCAGTCTTATATTAATCTCAGCAATAGCATTCCAATTTCGATTAATGTTAAAGGGTTCCTAACCATCTTTATAGAACTTCTTTTCATTTTACTTATATCCTTTTTGAACTTTCAGAGGGTTCTTATTCAACGTCAGAGAATTCCTAATACTTTTTCAATAGGGTTCTTATGCATTCCAACAAGGTTCTTAAACGTTTTAAAATGGTTCTTTTAATTCCAATAGGGTTCATATTACCTATTCATTTTAGTGAGTCTCCAAGTAAATTTAATGGTATTCTTAGAAATTTGAATAGCATTCCTAGCCCTATTTATTTTAATAGGAACCACATTAAGTCTAACGGTTCTTTTAGTTTGAATAGGGGTCCCTCTGAAAAGGAAAAGGACTCATACTTCTTTTTTAGGATTCCTATTGGGTCCTATTCATGTTAGTGAGTCTCAAAGTAATTTTAATGGTCTTTTCTGAGAGATTTGAACAGCATTCCTGTCCCATTAATTCTAATAGGAATCACATTAATTAAAACAGGAAGCCTAGAAATCCGAACCACATTCAATTTTATAGGATTCCTGTTGGTTCCGATTAATATTAAATAGTAGGATTTCTCTTCATTTTCAAAGGATTCCTGTTAATTTGCAATAGGGTTCTGATTATTTTTATTGGTGTTGCTTATAAAGTCCTATTGATGGTAGGACCTTCTTCATTTTAAAAGGATCCCTCTTAGTTTGTAAAAGGGTTCTTATGAATTTTAGTGGATGGGATTCCTATTGGTTCTTATTAAGTTTAGTAGGATTTCTCTTCATTTTCAAAGGATTCCTATTAATTTGCAATAGGGTTCTTGTGATTGTTATTGGTGTTGCTTTTAAATTCCTATTGATGGTAGGACCCTCTTCATTTAAAAGGATTCCTCTTAATTTGTGAAAGGGCTCTTATGAATTCTAGTGGGGTTCCTCCTAATTTGAATAGGATTCTACTTCATCATAACAAGATTAAGAGAAATATTAACAGGATTCCTATTAAGATTTAATAGAATTCCCACATTCCCGTGAATTCAAAAAGGGTCCCTTTTCATTTTCACAGGCTTCCTGCTATTCTTCATGGGCCCTATTGTTGTTCTACATATTAATAGCATTCCTATGACGTTTGATAAAAAGTTCCTATGATTCAAATATGATTCCAAGTCATGTTTGCTATTAATTCAATAAGATTCCTATTCTTTTCAATAAGAGTCTTATAGATTTTAATAGAGTTCGTATGAGTTTTCCATAGGGTTTTCATTCAATTAATAAGGTTCTTGTTAAATTCATACTTATGACTAAATATGGATTTCTTACTCCGACACGGCCTCACGGTGGGTCATGGGGGGGGGGGGGTGTGAGCATAGATATATATATGTATGTGACATATGGTTGAATCCTTCAAGACATTTTTCGCTCAAAGCACTTTTTTTTACAAGATGTATTCATTACGTAGTAGTCGTTGTCATATTGCATACGGAAATCAAGTTTCGACTCTCACACTGGCACAAGGTGGGGGAGGCTGCTGGGCCGTTTAGGGGCTTGCAGGGTTTGCTGGGCGGTGACAGAAGGAGAGAGAGGCTTCGCCAGTGCAAGTGCCCCTGACATCCAGCCCCCCCCAGAAGAAGCTGAGTCACCTGGACCGCGCCATGCCTCAGGGCCCCGGTGTAACTAGGCATCTTGGAACACCCGCTTTGAGGTTCTTCATGTGACAGGAAGCAAACACCCGTGAACTCTTGAAGTGCTTCATACGCGTGAGGTAAATGCTGAAAATTGGTGTGGCTTTCTGCCTTAAGCCCCACCACTGACCCTGAAGCCCCGGACCTTTCGGCTCTAGCACCCTAAACCCGGTAACCCCAACAAACCCTAACCCCTAAACTCTTCGATGGCCTGGACAGCCACACCGCTCGCTGCAGTGAGATGGAGAGGGACGATTGGACACACATCGCCTCCTCAGGGGCACATCTCAGAAATGCAGCCCGGAACCTCTAAGTAGAAAGAGCCTTCCGAAACACGACGACACGCACTCGTGGGCTCAGGTTTCAATGTTGTGGGAACACAGTGGATTGAACCCTGACCAAGAATTAAGAGTTCGAGGTCCTGGACACAAGGGCAACTGAAGGCATGCCCGCAAGCACCAGGCAGAAAAATAGAACAGACGCAGGGAAACTGAGAAAACGCCTCCAGCGCATGTCGGCCACCGGTGCGGAATCCGCCACAGGGATGGTAAGCCTCGCGAGGCGGTTTCGGGTGGCTTCCTGGCTGCAAGGCCCTGCGCAGGCCGTTTCGGACTAGTTCAGTTGTGGAACACTTGAAAACCCCTTCGACAGCGCATCTCAGGTGCAGGCGTGATTCCCCCCTGCAGGCCGAGAGGCAGAAGTTGACAACTTCTTCTTGGGTTCTAGTAATTGGGGAGAAACTCCTGGGAGAGAGAAAGAGAAAGAGACAGAAAAAGAGAAAGAGAAAGAGAAAGAAAAACAAAAAGAAAAAGAGAAAGCGAAAGAGAAAGAGAAGGAGAAAGAGAAAGGGAACGAGAAAGAGAAAGAGAAGGAGAGAAAGAGAAAGAGAGTGTGAGAGAGAGAGGGAGAGGAAGAAACAATATATATATATATATATGTATTAATGAACTTTCCGCAGGCTCTCAAGTTCACAGCCAGCCACAGTGGGTTCGGAAGCCACGGACAGGCGCGGCTGCGCGTTGCTGGCGAGGGAGCCACCCGCCTTCAGGGGTTTTTGAAGTGGTCCATGGAACAGATCATGGTAGCAACAAGGCGTCTAAAAAAACAAAGCTTAAAAAAAACAGAGACACACACACACATATATATATATATATATATATATCGAAAAGCGTATATATATATATACATATGTTTGTGTATATGTATTTGTTTACTTATATATATAAATATAAATTATATATATATATATATATATATATTTGGTCACCCCCCCCCCCCTACGACAGACCCCGGAATTGCTTTTCCAGTCTGTCCAGGAAGGGGGTGGAAGACCAACACTCCAAAATTCCTCGAGTTTCCACAAATCCAAAAATCCAAAAACTCCAACCCAAGTTTCGGATTTTTGGAAACTCGAGCGGGAGCCTCAAAATCCAAAAACCGAGCTCCCGCTCGAGTTTCCAAAAATCCAAAAATCCAAAAAACCCACCCCAAGGTTTGGATTTTTGGAAACTCGAGCGGGAGCCTCAAAATCCAAAAATTCAAATTCCTCGAGTTTCCAAAAACCCAAAAATCCAAAAATTCAAACCCAAGTTTCGGATTTTTGGAAACTCGAGCGGGAGCCTCAAAATCCAAAATTCGTGCTCCCGCTCGAGTTTCCAAAAATCCAAACCTTGGGGTGGGTTTTTTGGGTTTTTGGATTTTCGGAAACTCGAGCGGGAGCTCGATTCTTGGATTTTGAGGCTCCCGCTCGAGTTTCCAAAAAACAAAACCTTGGGGTGGATTTTTTGGAATCCGAACTGGTTCTTGTGTTACCTGCGTTGCTGCGGTTGGTTTTGTTGGTGTTGAGGGCCCTCCTTTGTTGCTTGCAGTGCTTGTGTTGGTCTTGGGGTTTAGGGCCTAGGGGCTCTTTGGTTGGATGCGTTTGACAAGGGCTGACGATGAAGTGCCCTGCAGGCACACGCATCCTGACCGTTGAGGAGGCCACGTGCAGCCGCAAACCCTAAACTCTGCAGAAAACCGCTTTGCCTTCGGGGTTAGGCCTATTTTGGCGGTTTAGGGTTTAGGGTTTGGGGTTTAGGGTTTAGGGCAGTTTATGGTTTTAGGATGGTTTTAGGGATTCGGTCAGCACTTCGCGGATCCCAACAAACCTCGGAAGGCCCTCGCCCCACCCGAAACCCGGCAATTCTAAACTTAGGCATGTTTTTCTTTTTGCAATTTTCTGCTTCCATGAGTATTAAATAAAAAAAATAAATATAATTATATGCTCCCCCCCCCCCCCCTTCGACAGACCCCGGAAGCGCAAAAAAGGCAAAAAGGCTGAGGGCGCGACGGACAGCATAGCTGCACACAGTGGGGTGCATAAGATTCATGTTGTCTTAATGGGAATCTTATTAAATGAGGAAACCCTTTAAAATGAATGAGAACCCTTAATAGTATTAAATTCAACGGAAACCCTATTCAAATGACAGAACCCTATTTAAAGTTGATAGGAATCATACTACATTTGTAGGAGCCTTATTAAAAATAGGCAAACTATGAAAATTTTTTGGAATCTTACAAACACAAATAATAGGAATCCTCTACTTAAATCCATAGGAAACCAATTAAAGTTAATCAGAACTGTATAAAAAACAATAGGAAGCCTATTAACATGAATAGGAACCCTATTTAAGGTCATGAGAAAGAACCCTATTATAATTGATAGGAATCCTAATAAAATGAAAGGACCCCTACTAAAATTAATAGGAATCAATGGGGCTCCTACAAAAAAAATGTGAACCCTTAACGAATAGGAACCCTACTAAAATTAATATGAGCCTAAACCAATAGGAATCCCTTTCAAATGAATGAGATCCCTATTAAATTAATACGAATCCAATGAACATGAGTAAGAGCTCTGAAATTGATATGAATCTTATTGCATTAGTAGGAGCTTTATCAAAATAATTAGGAACCATATGAAACTTTATTGGAACCCTATGAAAATAAGTAGGCACCTTTCGGAATCCTACCGAAACTTATCGGCTAAGCTAATAGGAAGCCTCTTTAAATGAATATGAACCCTTAACAAATCAAAAGAACGCGGTGAAGATTAAGAGGAACTAATAGGACTCCTATGAAAAATAAGATTCGCAAAAACAAGAATTAATCGGAACCCTACCAAATGAATATGAGCCTAAACCAATAGGAATTCCTTTCAAACGAATTCCTTTCAAACGAATGAGACCTCTATTAACATTAATACGAATGCCATTAACATGAATAAGAATCCTAAAATTGACAGGAATCTTATTGCATTAGTAGGAGCCTTATTAGAATAATTAGGAACCCTATGAAACTTTATTGGAATCCTATGAGAAAGTAGGAATCCTCTATTGAATTCATAGGATTGCTATCAAAAAAACTCGGGACCGATAAAAGTAAATAGGAAGCCTATGAAAATGAATAGGAACCCTTAACGAATTGAAAAGAACCGGTTATAATTCATAGGAGTTCTGTTAACATGAGAAGGAATCTGAGTAAGATCCCTAAACCCTAAACCCTAGACCCCAAACACTAAACCCTAAACCCTAAACCGTGTAGAACCCCTGAAAAAATCTTACCAAAACTCCAATTTCCAAAATTCCAAAATAACCCAAAAAACCCAACCCAAGTTTCGGATTTTTGGAAACTCGAGCGGGAGCCTCAAAATCCAAAAATCGAGCTCCCGCTCGAGTTTCCAAAATTCCAAAAATCCAAAAACCCACCCCAAGTTTGGATTTTTGGAAACTCGAGCGGGAGCCTCAAAATCCAAAAACCCAAAATTCCTCGAGTTTCCAAAAATCCAAAAATTTCAACTCAAGTTTTGGATTTTTGGAAACTCGAGCGGGAGCCTCAACATCCAAAAACCAAAACTTCCTCGAGTTTCCAAAAATCCAAAAATCCAAAAAGTCCACCCCAAGGTTTGGGTTTTTGGAAACTCGAGCGGGAGCACGAATTTTGGATGTTGAGGCTCCCGCTCGAGTTTCCAAAAATCCAAAGCGGGTTGGCAGGGCAGTTGCTAAAGGTGGGGCTCGCTGTCTTTATGTGTCACAGTCTGCTCATAGGTTGTCGTGTGTCAAGGTCTGGTCTCTTCGCTGATGTTTGATTTTGTGTCGCGGTCCGGTCAGCGGTTTGTGCTTGCTACCGTCTGTTCTGCTCACGTGATTCCCTCTCATTCTCTCTCCAAAAATGTTCAAGTGTCACAGGCTGGTCAACTCAGAGATTTGGGGTGTCTTTTTCGGCTTTGCAAAAAGTGTGCATGCAAGTGTCAGGATCCGGCCTATTCCCATGCCAACGACAACCGTGGCAGCCGCGGGTCCCATCTGCTCGAGCAGGAAGGGGAAAATGGAGTTCGGATGCGTTGGAGTAAACAAACACCAGCCTGTCAACTGGGCGAAAGTAAAGGGTTGTGAAGATCAAGTGGCCAGGTGGGGGGGAGGGGGGGTGGGAGGGGGGAAGCGAGTTGTCGCAAGTGGGTTTATGCTGGGTGGACTAAGCGAAATGCAGCACCATGACGTTGTCTTTCTGCGGCCTGCGGCCGCACCACGCGCTCATCCCTCACGACTTATGGAATACACGGCATTTTCAGGAAAAAACTGCAACATTGGGACGTTTTGAAGCATGATGACACAGTTCTGGTTCCATATGGTACATATGGCTGCACCACAAAACAACAAAAGGTCCTGCCTGACTGTCATCAAGTTACTGGGATGGGGGCGTCAGCAAGTTGGCCACGATTGTTTGATATGCCCTCCTCTTTATTCCTATTCACTTCCAGATCCAGCTTGCGCAAGCCTACGCACGAGACACGTGGCTTCGTTGCAGAAGCGTGCCTGGCCCTACGACAGCTGCAGCTTCAGCATCTGCCTCGTTTGCTCTCGCAACTTGCAGGTTGGGGCATGTGAAAGACCATGCACCCCTTGTCGCTGACAGCCTGTCATGCTTCAATCAAAGAACATCTTGGGAGGACATCGCAAGATTTTCCGATTTATGGGTGCAGTGACCAGGCACGGATTCACGCAGAGCGTGCCAACACCAACAAAACATTGCATGCAACACTCAAGACCCAACAAGAATTCCTGAAACCACACCGCAAGCCCAACATAGATGTGCAAAGTGCGACTTCGTGATGCGGGGCACAAACATCTTACACCATGTCCATGGTAGCGCTTGCGCCAGGCTGAGGCCAAGGTCTTGTGCGCCTGTCAGATTTGCGATAAACCCAATGTTGGATACCAACGTGAGCTCATTTCGAATATGATCCGTCGCAAAGATTCAAGATGCCTAATCCGAAAAAGCCCTACTCCCTGAAACCTGCAGTCTCGAACAACTCGGGTCTCTGCAGGTTGGAGCCGAAGGTGTCTGAACTCAGCTGCAAATCCGGGACAAGTGCGTGCACAATCAAACGCAGGCATTTTGATGCTGCTTTATTCTCTCCATGGCCCCCTCAAAGGCCCTGCTCTACTGAATTCCGAAATTCAACCCAAGACTCC